GGTGAACAAGTAACATATAAATGATAATATGGTAAGTATAATCATACATTGTAATGAATAATGTATAAGAAACCTAAGTGGTAGGTAAAGAGGTAAATTTATTCTAATAGCCTCCTTAAACCCAAGGTAAGTATGAACTCAACTTGAGATTGAAGGCAAGATCATGAAAGCAGCATGACGGAAATTGAGGGTTGTACTAGAGAGCAATTGTATAGATCATCGAGGGGAATGGGGTTAAAGTCGAAAGCTAATGAGTCATCTTAATGGAAACCCAATCTAGCTGACTGGAGATCCCAAGATCTAGGTTCAAAGGGACAACAGAAGTACTGGGAAGATATAAAATCTTCTACCCATTTCTATTATGAAACAGTGTTACCTATAGCGAGGATTATAATAAGTTACGCTTTTAATAACTTTTATGCCTTGAAATTTCAAGTGAGGTATGGTAGGATACTTTTAATAAGAAGTTACCTATATGAGTGTGAAGTGGGCCATTTCTATGGGAGCTATAAAGGCTAAGTTTTCTGGAGCACTCATGAATACCAGGAGTTGTTCAGGACCAAAACGAACACAACAATGAGAATCAACTTTGTGAGGAAGGGAACTGTGTGTTTGCTATTATCTTGGTTTACATCAACGACTAAACTATTCAAGACATCACGGCCAGTAAATTCAATAATAATACACTAGGGAAGGTTCAAGGCCAAAACCTATCTATCCTAATGGAGTAACTTTATGTATATACTTTCTATAGTGTCTGCATTATCATTTGCATTTTAGCAGCCAATTTCTATTCATGTAGGGAATTGTTAGAAATTTGATGTAAATGGAACTTGTTAATCAAGGAGTCTGAAACTGGAGTGGTGCCACCATATCTTTTGCGACACAAATAACCCATAAATCTGGTTATTCATGTAGAGTGTTTTTGTAAAAAAGAGTTTTCAAATTACAACGACTTCTTGACACATGATTAAATTGTAGTAATGACAACATGGTTGAGAATGAGTTGGAAAGTAAGGATAGCATGATTGAGACTTAAGAGTCACGTTGAATTGTGACCATATTTGTGAGTTTGGGTTACAAACGTTGACAGAATATAACGTTGTTAACTGTTGGCAATTGGTTAAATTGTTGAGTTTATGAATTATGTATATTCAAACCAACAATTGCATTGTTTCTTAACAGACACACCCATACACCAAGAGGCATCTCAAACAGACACACCCATACACCAAGAGGCACCTCCAAGTCTATAAATAACCCACTGGGCGCCATAATTCAATCGTTCATTCATTTTCTTCTCTCTCCCTCTCTAGACTTGAATCCAACCCAAGTGGGTTCAAGCCATAGGTTAAGTGGTCCGAGCCACTTAGACCCAAGAACAATACGACTGAGCCATATTAAAATTGGTCCGAGTCATTTGGTTCAGATTGCACCCAATTCATTATTTATATAGTATAGATGCATTTTTTAGTCAAAGAAAGTATTACACAGAGGAGGTTCGCAATATCTACGAGTACGAAGTGCTACTACTGGTGGATGTATACCATTGAATCATGTGAGACAAACGCCGTTAAGTCCGTCAGTACCATGCGGGGCGTAAATTGTCTTAAGGACGTAGTATCCAATATTAGCCTCGGTCCCGAATCTTTATTTATTATTATTATTTTATTACTTTAATTTGCATGTTTAATTAAATATCGAGTTGAATATTTAATTATTTATTTTTAAACATATTATTAATTATCTCATGATATATTAATATAAAATTAATTATATCTTAAATGTCTTTTAAAGCATATAGATTCCAACATATTGTTCAAAAGATAAGGAAACAAAGGGTGTATAAGGAAACAAAGGGTGTATAATAGGGTCACATAATCAATCAATGTTTTCACCAACCAACCAAAAAAATTAAGAAATATGTGACATAAGCAATATAGAGATAAAATCTAGTTCCTGCTAATCAATAATAATACAGTAATGAAGAAATTGAATCCATCATAATTTGCATGGTTACTAGGGTTGGCCATTCATTTATATGGATTCAATTTCTACGTTACTGTATTATTGTTGCCTATTTATTTATCAAAATAGTTTGTAACAAGTTCTTGCTGCCTTAATGGTCAAGATGGGTCAATAACAATTTTTAGTCATGTTAGCAATTTGAAAAATATAATTGTCAATTTTGGCCTTGTAGAATTGTTTTATTCAATTAAAAAAATTCAGATTTTATGAGAAAAAAATTGCATAATTTGTAAATGAGTTTGACCGAAAGTGCATGATAGAAGTTAAATATACTTTTTCAGACATAGAAGGGAAGGTCATATAATTGGGGATGGCAAAATATTTTGTCCTGTCGTCAATACTCGTCCTGTTTAGAATGGTTACGGAGTGGTTAATGGTTATGGGACACGGATGGGCAGGGACAGAGAGAAGGGGGGCTGGCGAGGGCCATGGCCCATGACACCCCCTAATTTTTGGTATAGGTAAGAATAAAATCCCTTAAGAAATTTTTTTTTGTTTCTTTAATTAGCATTTAACAAAAGATAGTTTAAAATTCTTGCATCTTCATTTATGTATAATCTAAAAGAAAGTGATTTAATTGACGACCATAGAATTCTGATAAAACTGGTTCATATAAAATTTTAATGTAGTTATCTTAAAATTTCAACTCAAACACCGTTCTTTCCATAATGTAACTATCTTAAAATCCTTCCAACTCAAGCACGATTATTTCCATAACTTTATTATCCTAGAATTCCATCTCATATTGTGATTTTTTCCATCACTTTTTTCTCTTTTTATTTATTTTTATTGGAATACTTCTATAAGAATTCTATAAGAAATTAATTTTTACAAAATCTAGAACAAAAATTTCATTTGAAGTTTTGAATATCAACAAAAATCGATGATTTAAGAATCTAAATTCTTATTTTATTAATTTGTTTGTGTTTTTATTTATTTATTTATTTTTTTTATTTTTTATTTTTTATCATTATTATTGTTTTGTTAAATTTTCAATTGTTACTTTTTTTTTAAAAAAAAAAAGTTATTTTTGTTTTTTTTTTCTTTTCGGTAAATAAAGAGAGTTATTTAATTGAATTTTTTTTTATAATTTTGGCATAAATCTTATTTGTGTTTTGTTCAGAAAGTTTGATAAAAAAATTTCTTTAAATAACTAGTTTTTTTATTTATTTAAATCAATTGGGAAAAGTTTATATAGATATATTTTTGTATGAATATAACAAATAGTAAAATATTTTTGCCTACGTAATATATATATATATTTTCAAAAGTTCTAGCTAGATAATGTTGTTTTTTCAAAAGTTCTAGCTAGATAATGTTGTTTATAATTTTGGCCCCCCAACCTCGATCCTGGCTCTGCCCTTGCGGATGGGGGTTAAGATTGAAAACCTGCATGATTATGAGGCGAGAATAGAGAAATGTCACCTATCTTACTCCGATAATACATTACAATTGTGTCCTTATATTCAATAATATTAGGTACCATATATTAAGCAAATGTTAGTTTATTCTATTTCAATCACTAAATATTCATTTGTATTATTTAATTTGAATTTGTTTATGTATTATTTTAATGTTCTTCAGTAATATTAAGTCTTAAGTTTTAATTGAGAAGTTGAATCTTGTTTTTATTTGCATAAGACAAAATAAATTATTAATATAGTTGAAAATACTTTATTTTTATTATTTATTTTAGTTAGATTTCTAATACAATTTGAAAAGAATTATATAAAATCCGTCACCCTTCACCCATATATTAAACTATTTTGGATGAGAATGTGGTAGTTATTCTAAATGGGGACGGTGTTCCCCGTGCCTACATATAATGCATATGACAGAACTAGAAATAAGATGTCCTCCTGTGGCTCCATTCGGTTAGATAGAAATAGCAAAAAAAGAAAAAAAAAATAGATAATGAAAAGAAAAGTGAAGAGAATGAAAATAAAATTGATTTTTTTTTTTAGCATGTATTTAGTTAGGATGAAAATATCATATTATAATTTAGATACCTAAATTGTCCTTATTTTATAAAAATAGTAAAATAATAAAATTAATAGTAGAATAATAAAAAAATTAATTAGTTGCGATGTATATAAAAATAATGATTGAGTTTTCAATTAATTTAGACCTTACAAATTACTATTCTACCACATGGTATGACATTGTCCGCTTTGTGCCTAAGCCTGCACGGTTTTACTCTTCGACTTTACCCCAAAAGAGGTCATATCAATTGAAGTGACACACCTACTTATAAGCACTTTACATTTTCCTTATCCAGGCGACCAGTGTGGTAGCCTGCCAGTGCTTCGCACCACGGCACACCCACCCACAAGGTCACCACAATCACCCCTTTTGGGACCCAACGTCCTCATTGGTCACACTTCGGGCTGGGTCAGGCTCTGATACCTATGATATTGTTCACTTTAGGCTGAGCACGTACAATTTTACTCTTATGTTTTACCCCAAAAGGACTCATACTAATTGGAGTGACACACTTATATATAAGCACTTCACATTTTCCTTATCTAGATGATATGGGATTGTGTACCCATAACTCGTTCAGTGTGGTAGCTTGTCAATGCCTTACAACCGTCCAAGACACATCTGTCCACAAGATCGCCACACAAACACTACCAATAATAGAATTGTTGTTAGACTACAATTTTAGATCTTTGAAACAAAATATATATATATATATATATATATATATATATTGTTAGTCTCCGTATGTGAATAAGGTAGCTGGATAAAATATCACTGAGTTGTTAGGTAAAATAATAAAAATACAATTTTTTGCTTTTCACAACTTTTCATTTCTTATCTAACCAAACTCTAAAATTTCTTTTTCTTTTCTTTCTATATAACCAAACAAAACCTAGGTTCAAAATCTCCATTCATAAAAAAACGAAGGGTATTTGTGTCCTTTGATATGGTATGTACTTTTTTTTTTTCTTCTATATCAATGCCAGTCCCCAGCTCTTTCCTTCCCTCGCCCATCGTTCTCTCTGCCCCCAGCGAAAGAACTTCCAGTGTGTTAAAAAGTGGATTCTTTAATGAAAACCAACCCAAATGTCTCTGGGTTATGCAGAAAAGCTCTCTTACAAAGAAGATGTGGGCAGTGTTGGAATGTCAGAGATTTTCGAACCACCGCTGGTTTTGCAAAAAAAGGTCGGTGGGTGTGCTTTCTTTCTAATTCTTTACCTCTCCTTATCCGAGTGGTATATTTGATTGCCCTTGTTGTTTATCGTTGTTATATTAGTTATTTTAGTCCATGCATACATACCCCGTCTTACAATCGCTATACCCATGAAAAATTAAATTACTTGTGAATATACGCTTAAATTTACCTCTCCTTATCCGAGTGGTATATTTGATTGCCCTTGTTGTTTATCGTTGTTATATTAGTTATTTTAGTCCATGCATACATACCCCGTCTTACAATCGCTATACCCATGAAAAATTAAATTACTTGTGAATATACGCTTAAATTTGAAGAATATTTGGGTGTGTTTTTGAATTGATGGGTTTTGCAATTTTTTTTTTTTTTTGTTCATTCTGTAAAATGATATTTTCATTTGTAAAATGCTAAAAGTTTGATATGCAAGGAAGTTGAAAGTTGGACCTTGAATGTGGGTTGATGATTGTTGCGTTTTTTGTAATCAGTTATTAAGGGTTTCATAAATGTACTTCTTTGGGTACCTCTGTGTATCAAGATGTTAAAATTGGAGGTGAACAGTTTTGGTGGGTGTTAATGGGGACAGGGGATTTATTTATTAATTTATTTTTCATGAATTTGCTCAAGCCCATTGTTATAATTGTAGAGTGAAAGGTATGAATTGCGTTTGGTATATAAGGAAATTCGGATAGTTTAAGAACATTGAGAACAGAGGGTCCTCAATAGTTGCATCATTCAATGTCTGATGTTAGGTCTTTAGTCTTGTTGTTGGCTTGGAGAAAAAAGATGTTTTTTTCTCTGAAAAATTTGCCCAATGTTCTACTACTGATGTAGGATGCTCTAATACCAAAATGATGTATAATATTTTTTATACCGAAAGTCATACTTCATAACTCAATTATAAAATGATTTATCATAATTTTCCCTTATATGTGAATGAATTTGGATAAACAAACAAAGAAAGAAAGCTAGGGTCCTATGGGATAACAAAGAAAGAAAGACAGGGTCCTATGGTATCATTCTTCTTGATCTAGTCTCTTTAGGTTCCCATACAAGGTGTTTTTTCTTTCTGTTTTATCTGGGCAGGCATGTGGCATCTTGCTACGAAAGGACCTTCTTTGAGATGTCACCATGTCAGACCTTTTGAGAATGAAGAAGTCACATTCCATGATCTAGAAAAAATTGAAAAGGCCAGGCATTCAAACCTAGATTCTTGGGCAACCACACTCAAGAAAATATGCATCACATTCTATAAGTAAAGGTTTCTGTAAAACTTTTTCGTTCACTTCATGCACAATAGAAATTCCAACTTCATATATACAAAACCTAAAGAGTTTATCTAAGTAGCTTAATTTGGAGTTGGTAATAAGTAGGTGAGAAGTAGCAATTGATTCGGTAGGTGACAAGAAGGTGAAAGGCTTTGGGGTTATCAATACTAATGTAGAAAAGTGAATTAAAATAATGTCTCCATGGCTATCAAAATTACAAAAGGTACCCTTATGTCCATTAAATTAAAGTTTTGATGCTAACAAAGCTCTTATAATTTGTTATGCATTTGATCCATTACTAGCATCTGCGCGTAATAGATTTTCTTCAATGTAATATCATCAAGTGTCATGGCTACGGTGATGTCATTATTATAACGGCATATTTATTATGGAGAGACATTAGGGTATACTTTGATGGTTTTTCTCTGAGTCACTATTTTCTCACATAATGTGGTCATACTTTCTGGAATGCATTGTTATTCATTGTGGTACTTTCAGGCCTTCTCATAATGCTCTTTCTATTTATATTTTGGTTAGGGTTGGTGGGTATAGAGTTGTCCCATTGGCTTACAGTTAGGCGATACTATAATAGCTCTTACATTGAAGAGAAAAGTATATACGTTGTTGAAGGATTTATATATTTAAGTTACACCCTTTCTAATAGCTTAAGCTTTTGGAGTAGATGGATGTTAACATGGTATCAGAGATATTGGAGAATATTATTATAGGAACCGTTAAATTACTCCTTGACAAAGTAATTCAATATTCTGTCAACGAGTAATTTAAGGGTTCCTATAATAATATTTTCCAACAAGAGTCAAAGGTCTCGAGTTCAAACCTCACTGTCACCCTAATTAAAAAATTGAAAAACACCTGTTGGAACCAAAAGAAGGCCACACGTGAGGGGGCATATTGAAGGATTTATTTATTTAAGTTACACCCTCTCTAACAGCTTAAGCTTTTGGAGTAGATGGTTGTTAACATGAAGATGTCTAACATATGTTATCTTAAGGGAGAGATGCAATTTTTGTTAGGATTTTTTTTTTTTGGCCTTTATTTACTACAACTATAGGATACCACTTTCTTAATTATAAAGTAGTTTTTGCTGTATACGATATCAGGACTAGTCCAATGCATGAGGCTCCGGCCGCTGTAGGGTTTGGGGAGAGACGGAGGGTTAGTTGTATGGAGCCTTACCTTTGCATGTGGAGAGGATGTTGTCCATTTTGAACCCGTGACCTCCAGGTCATAGTGGAGAGCAACCTTACCGTCATGCCAAGTTCAACCTTACCGTCTTTGTTTCATATCCAATTTCATGTCCTAGTTTCTTGATTTTTTTAGTATCATTGTCCCCACATCAATATCTGTACTTTGGAGCTAATTATGATGTATGGTTTATCTAGTGAATCATTATTCATGCTTAAATAGCAGTATTGTAAGTTTTACCATGAATTACTTGTGCGAGGAAATGCTGGTCAAGGCCGCATGGGCCTGATACTTAAGTAGTGTCACTAGTCACTGTTACACAAATTTAACATGTCTGTTAAATAATCTGTTTCTTATTCTTTTCAATGTTCAGGTTTGTCTTTTGACAATGAAGTTCTACGATCTTAAAATAATTGTGCTTACATCCTATGTTTCAATGTGCAATGGCAGATTGAAAATCTTGCGCTGATGATTCAAAAGGTGGAGGAGTTTCGAAGGCTCAATTATCTTGTTGAATATTTATGTTATTTTGAAGCCATGTGGGGATAAATTATCATTTAAACACATCAAACTTATTTGCATGTATTTGCAGAGTAAGCATCTAGTGGCATTTACAGGTGCAGGAATATCAACTTCTTGTGGGATACCTGATTTTCGAGGTCCCAAAGGAGTTTGGACACTTCAGGTGAGAACCATTAGAATTTCAATAACTGAAGAAGTTGATCTACAAGCTTGCTTCTGTCCTTGCCTCCCTTTCCATTCGCTTATTGTATATACACAAGTGTTAGAATGGTGGTTCATGAAATCATTTTATGTTGGTTTGTAGCAAGAAGGCAAAGGTCTGCCTGAAGCATCCTTGCCATTTCATCGTGCAATGCCGGGTGTAACACATATGGCTTTGGTTGAACTGGAGAAGGCTGGCATCTTGAAGTTTGTTATCAGCCAGGTTAGTTTCTCTTGTATTGTCATGAAGGCATCATACCATTGTTGAGGTTTGTCATATGTTTTCAACCATAGGAACTCTTGGAGCTTGAGTATAGTTGTTTGAGGTCTTATTATTGATCATTGCGTGAGCCGCATATGTGATATGTTATTTAATTGCCAATATAATAGACACAGAGCATGTCATTGTTATAATTTGCATAGGTGACTGCATGTTATTCAAGTATTGATGGGAGATGCTTCTAGTTACTTTTTTTTTATTGTTTATGTAAAAGTTGGCCCTCAAAGAGATTTGTTGCATATTGATCTTATCTATTTACTCCTGAACACAATCATTTGCCAACCATGTGCGCTGGGTAAGTCCATGATTTGAGACCTCTGGTTATTGAGCCATTGCATCAGCCACCTTAATTGTGCATCTCACAAAGCTGAGATTGGACAAAAGTTAGCAGGAGGTTTGACATTTTGTTGATCAAAATTTTCCCTGCCCTTTTACTTTCTCCTATTAATTCTCGTGTTCATCCAAATGCACCTTCATATAGTGTCTGTTAAGTATTTATATCTATCTGAGTTTCTGATTAATTATTGAAAACTTCTATTTTTCAGAATGTGGATAGTCTTCATCTCCGCTCTGGGATACCAAGGGAAAAACTTGCGGAGTTGCATGGGAATTCTTTCAGAGAAATTTGCCCATCATGTGGAGTAGAGTAAGAGTTAAACTTCAGATGATCTTACTCACGATCTCTTTCAAGTGAAATATTTGCTTTTACAAACTATAACATGTTGCAAAAGATATTATGTTATATGCTTTTGGACCTTTCTTGATATTGTTCAACTAAACTAGAACTTGTTTTTTGAAGGTATTTGCGTGATTTTGAGGTGGAGACTATTGGGATGAAGGAGACATCAAGGCGTTGTTCTGATTTAAAGTGTGCAGTGAAACTTAAGGATACCGTTCTTGATTGGGAGGTAACTGTTATTCTTGCTATCCTTGGTTGCATTGTTTTGGACAATAGAGAAATATACTTTCTTACATGATCCGAGTTATGGGTATTACTGAGAGAAATTATTGTTCTGTGTAGACTATTACTGAGAGGTTACTACTTTAGAGCTGGTATTCTGTTAATTTATTATCTCATTCATGGCATATGCTTTTCTGCATTCAATTTACTGGATGATAAATAAAGGAGTAAGTACTTAAAGGACTAAAACATTCTCCTAGGTGCAAATTTCTTATTATTGCATATTGCGAGTAGCCCGTTCAAATATCTGTGGATGTTTGTGTACTATGGCTGATATTTACACTATAAAATTTCTAGTAATTATAATGCTACTTCATCAAGTGGTGAGAGTTTTGCTGGATGTGGAGAAAAAGTTCATTTTCTGGTCCCACAGACTTCCATTAATAACTAATGAATAATTTATAGATTACCTTCTTTGGAGTATTATAGTGGGGATATATAATATAAAGTCAGATGATTATTGGCATAGTAATGGCCAATCTAAAATATATTTTAAAGTGAATAGCAGTTCCTTATACTTTCTAAGAACTGTTGGATCATTGCAAAGAACTTATATCTAACCGAACTTCTCAATGAACAATTGGAATGATTTAGCATTGGTTAAAGGTGCAAATGCACTAACAAGGTTAGATAGGAAGCAGTATTTGATGATTTAACAAAAGAGATCTTTGGTGGGGAAACAGTTCAGTCAGTACTGGTGACTATTGAGTATTGGATGATTTCTTTTCAGCTATGTGAGAGAAAGACCATATGGTCTGGAAACTAATGAGAACTTATAAGATGGAATGGCCTTTTTTGTCCTTTTGAAGTTTAAGTTACCTGATAAATGTGCTTAACCTTTTTCTATTGTAGGATGCATTGCCCCCCAAGGAGATGAATGCGGCTGAAAAACATTGTCGAATGGCTGATCTTGTATTATGTTTAGGGACTAGGTAGGTCTAAAGAATTATTCATGTCACTATCCATATTATTGCTGTTGATTCTGTCATTTATTAGTTTAGCCTAATTATTATTGTTTGCTTAAAATCAACACTGCCCTCTCAATATAATTCCAATGCTACAGTGTTCAGTATGACATCTGATTAACCATTTTGTTCTCTGTTGTGCTTATCTTAAATTATTTGGGGTCATGCTTGAGGGTTTTTGATGTTATACATTATTTATAGTTATTTTACTTTAAGTTCTTTGTTCTTACTCACTTGCTTTACTGGCATAATTGTTTTTATGTGGGAATTGGTAGAGAAAAGAACTTTGACTGCTATTGAATTGCATCAAAAGTGAACAAGCTCACTGATCACCCTCATAAAGAATTCGATACAGTAGTTGGCAAGCCATATCTGTTGGCTCTTTAGTTTTTGTTAGAGGATATAAATATTGAATTTGCACCATCTCTAACAATTTAAGCTTTTAGAGTAGATGGTAGTTAACATGGCATTAGAGTAAAAGGTCTCAAGTTCAAACCTCGTTGTAATAATTAAAGTTAAAATACGTGTTGGACCAAAAGAAAGCCACACGTGTAACAACCCACTCCACCACATGGTATGATATTGTTCGCTTTAGGTTTGAGCCTGCATGATTTTGCTTTTGGGTTTTTCCCCAAAAGGCCTTGTACCATTTGGAGATAACACCACCACGTATAAGCACTTCACCTTTCCCTTACCTCAGTAATGTGGGATTGTGAAACCTGTAGCTCGCCCAGTGTGGTAGCTCACCCAATCCCTATTCACATCTGTCCATATCACATCCGCCCACATAAGTCGTTACAATCAACCCCCCTTAGGGGGCCAATGTCCCCGTTGGCCACACTTTCAGTTAGGTCAGGTTTTGATACCATTTGTAACGACTTATTCCACCACATGGTATGATATTGTCCGTTTTGGGCTCGAGCTCACACAATTTTGTTCTTAGGTTTAACCCCAAAAGGCCACATACCAATTGGAGTGTACAAATCCTACATATATAGCACTTCCCTTTTCTACACGTACGCGATGTGAGATCGTGCACTCGTAGCTAGCCAGTGCCTCGCACACGCCCACCCCCATGCCCACCCGCCCACAAGGTCGTCACAACCACCACCCTTTAGGGGACCAATGTCCTCGTTGGCCGGCTAGGTCAGACCCTCATACCATTTGTAACGACCCAGTTTACCATATGGTATGATATTGTCTACTTTGGGCCCAAGCCGCATAGTTTTGCTCTTTGGGTTTTACCCCAAAAGGCCTCGTACCATTTGGAGAAGGCTTAGATGCCCTTTTTGGCCTTGTGTAGTTCTCTTGGGCTTCGTTCCCCTTTTGAACGCTTTTATACAATTTTACTTTAAAAAAAAAAAAAAAAAAGGAAAAAAAAGAAAAAAAGAAAAAGTGAGGGGGTCGTGTTAGAGGATATAAATATTAAAGTTAGACCCTCTCTAACAGCTTAAGCTTTTAAACTAGACTAGATGGTGGTTAACAGTTTTGATTAGCCAAGTTGCTCATGGACACTTTTGTCACATTAATGATTAATTTTCAAGTCTGTCTTGTTATGGCTATTATGTTTTTCCATGCTAAACAAAATAAGCAATATAAATAAAATGAGCTTTCAACATCTCGCAACCTTGCTTAATGGAATTGCCTGGCAGGGATTGGCAGTCAATAGAACGAAGAGTTGGTAGTTGAATTGGAGATCCTTGGACTGTGGTTAAGAATTTAAAACTACTCACTGAAGAGTACCCACATGATCTGTATGTGGATTGGGCTATTCTAAATTCTTAAGAACAATAGATTTTATGAAATATGCCAACTTGAAAAGAAAGCATCCATGTAGTGAACCCCCAGTAGTTGGGATTTTCACCTTTTGAGTTGATTGATAGTTTTTTAGTAATAACGATGGAAATTTTAATGAGGAAGTACTTTATTTGTCTTCATAATTTCCCCCCTTTGCAGATTAGATTGTGGTATTAATATTTTTGGTTAACATTTATATATATATAAATATTGATAAGTAAAATTCATTAAAAAGCGCTCAAGAGGGTAGCGCATCCCAAATACAAAATCAAAATCAACAAAGAAGCCCACTATACCTTCACACCATACACAAAATCAACAAAATCCCCCATAGATTTATAGTTCTAACCATGATGAATGACTGTGTTTAGCAATGCTTTGTAGTTTGCAGATCACTCCTGCTTGCAACCTTCCTTTAAAATCTCTCCGTCGAGGTGGGAAGATTGTGATTGTTAATCTTCAGGTATTTCCTTCCTTTTTCTTTATTCTACTTCTGATATAATATTTTTAAGTAATGCATATGCCCATCTAGAGAAAGGGAACTGTTGACCAATTCAAAAATAGTTATTACAATTAATGCCTATTGCAAATAAGGAAATGAATGTTACTCATTAAAAGATTTGGTGAAGTTATAACTTACTACTTAGGTTTACCAATTAAGGATTAGAACTGGTAATGCAGTTTTACTGCAAAAATAACATAGATTTTTTATTAAGAGTATGCATGGATGATGAGTGTATAATTTATTTTTATTAACATTATTTGGAAATTAGTTGAAGAATGACTTGACAATAAGAATGTGATAGGTATTTTGGCATGCTAACTTGAGAACTAATTATATTTTGCCGGTGGGATGTGTTTTGGCTCCAGAGTGTATCTGGGTGGATATTTATAGCTATCCTGTATCGACCCACTCTACCACAAAGTATGATATTGTCCACTTTGGGCCTGAGCCCGCACGGTTTTGCTCTTAGGTTTTATCCTAAAAGACATCATGCTATTTGGAGTGTACCAACCCTACATATTTAATACCCAGGCAATGTGGGATCGTGCACCCGTAGCCTGCCAGTGCCTCGCTCACACCCTCCCTCAAGGTCGCCACAATCCATCCCCTAAGAGGCCCAACGTCCCCTTCGTCACACTTTCGGCTGGGTCGGGCTCTGATACCATTTGTAACGACCCACTCCACCACATGGTATGATATCGCGAGTCTGTACGGTTTTGCTTTTGGGTTTTACCTACCATTTGGAGTGCACCAACCCTACATAAATAGCACCCAGTCGATGTGGGATCGTGCACCCTTAGCCTATCAACATGGTAGCCTGCCAGTGCCTCGCTCACACTTGCCCACGCACACTGGCCGACAAGGTCGCCACACATCCAGTTTTTGAATTTTCAATAGATGTTTTCTTTCTCCTTTCCTTTTTTGTTTTTTAAATGATGATGTGAGGAGCTCTAATCCACTTTTACGTATCAAAAATAAAAATAGAAAATGATGATGTGAGGAGCAAGTATTATTTGACTGTACTGAATTTTTGGGCCGGATAATCTTTTAGGCAAACCATCTGTTTAAATTATATGCAGTTCTCTTTGTTTGTGAAGGATATGAGAGTATCCCTGTGTGCAAACTATCAGTCGATCAAATATGATCCGGGATCTCTTCATATGGTTATTAGTAAGGGCATATTATATTTACGCTGTATGCAATTATACATCTCCTTTGGTGCTTTATCTTCTCTGCCGGTGCCATATCTTCATTTCAGGCACTTTTTTGTTTTGTATGGTTATCTACCATTGACTCAATAGCTGTTTAAAAGTATTATGTTTTTTGCAGCGAACTCCAAAAGACAAGAAAGCAAGTTTGGTGATCCATGGACTTGTTGACAAGGTGCAGTTACTTTATTTTTGAATCGCAAAGAATGTACCTTGGAGAGCTTTTACTGGTTGAAGTATTAATACCACAATCTCTTATTTATAGATAGTACCAATCATTTTACTTCCCATATTACCAGAACCCTCTATTAGGCATAAACAATAAGTATTATAGATAATAGATATTAAGTGGCTTATAGAGAGGTAAGAGTAATCAAGTGCATACCTGATGTAAAGATTAGAGACAGACCTAACCTAGGCATTATTTTGCACAGAGAATTATGTTATCTTTTTCTTAATTCTTATTAAATTTATTGTTTATATATATCAACTAGACTACTGTTAATCATGCAAAACACGCATGTTTCATCTGACTTGGTAATTAACTTGATCTGAGCAGGTAATTTCTGGGGTAATGCACTTTCTAAATCTGCGGATTCCTCCATATGTTCGAGTTGACCTTTTTCAGATCATTTTTACTCAATTCCGCAGCATTTCAAGTAACTTTTCTTTTTAATATTGGCTTCTTTGTCATTGATATTGATCCATATAAAATATCGTTATTGATGTAAATCACTTTATCAGTGGATCCACCTTTCGTAATTAATGCAACAAAGATCAGTGGCTTTTATTGAATCAAATGCATTATATCTTGCCTCTTGTACTACCCTGCTTTAGAATCTAAATTAGCTGACAGGCAAAACATGTGTTGTTCTTTTCAGTAGGTAACACACACACACACACACACCCTCAACCTTCCATTTGGAAGGAGGAAGAAATACCACTTAGGCTAAGCCCTTGGTGGTAGCCCTTTGTGGCATGCAAAACATGTTGATCTAAGTATCTAACTAATTTTTGAATTCTAATTTATCTCTATTGCCATATAATTCCTTCAAATGATTAGTCGCCATGCTTAAGAGGAAGTAGTAAGAACTGCTTTTAGATTCTTTCTCTCTGTGCTTTTATTCAGAAGCATGGTCCCATACCTAAAAGAACAAGTTACTCGTGGGATTTCTTGCACCCACTTAAAAATACCAAAACCACCCAATGCACATCTGATGTGGGACCCAGAGCATGACTACACATCTGCAATTGGCACACCTGGGCAGACTCTTGCCTCTTGCAAAGGGGACTCACATCTCTGTATGGGACCCACAGAACTATTCTCCTGAGCTGCACCGTAGAACCCCGAGTCCAGTTCTGCTACCGATGTCACAAGGTCGGTTTTACACTTGAAAGTAGTCAGTTGTCGTGTTATCTGCTCTAATTTAAGAAACCTAAGACAATTCAGGTTGCACCTGATTGTGACTGTGCGGTCTGGCCTGTGCTCTTGCAGTGCATGTCAAGGTTCAAAGGCTGAGTTGGCTTAGCTCACTCAAGCTAGATCGAAGCCTGTCATTCTAATACCGATGCATTATGCAATAAAATCATGAGTCACCAAAATCTTGCAACATATATTTGCTCCATGGTCATGCCACCACAAGACAACTTAGAATTGTCATGCGATATGGCGATACAACTCGCAAGTCATTAGCTTTTAGCTAGGTCCCTAGAACATAAAAAAACACCAAACTCCTGTACAACTAAAAATATGTAAAGAAATTGAAAAAGAAAAAAAAAAATTATGCTTAAACATACACTTCCTTATTCAATGCTGGGCAACTTTGCAGCAACATTCTTTTTGTTCTTTACTCATCAACATTCTTTTTATTATTGAGTAAAGAATATTTCAGTTCCCACCTGAGCTCATACACAGCAACAAAAAGAATATAATGACATAGAGGAGTATCATGAGGAAAGCAAAATATGGTACTTAAGTTCAAGAGGATCAAAATTTTGTCGAGGGAAGTGAAGATTGGAGTAGGGTTAAGAGTGATCGAACTGGTAAGGATGGTGCAGAGGAGGAGAATGTTGGAGATCATTATACGGGAGTTTATTTTTTTTCTTACTTTGTAACACATATACATCTACGTATATATATGTATGTGTATATATATATATATATATATATCTGGACTGTATTGAGTATTTGTAATCCAACTATTATCTGATAATGTAATAGTCTAGTGTGATGATGCCATCTATTAAACTTTTAGACATTTTCTATTTTGTGCTGGATAATATATTTTTTTCATGGATCTATTTTGTTATTAATTTCAAAATTTTAAAGATATTCTTTTAAAATTTATTTGAGGCTTATGTCCGCAACTGAGTTGTTTCAATGGCCCTCGAGCTAGTGACCTATACTCCAAACACCATGGCGTGCGTGCATGTGACTTCCACTTAACAAAGTGGTTTCCTTGGGTCACATAAATTAGATATTTATGGAATGTCTGCTATCCATATGAAATTCGTTCATTTCACTTGCAGGGAAACAATATGCAAAATGGGCCATCAGAGTCACTAGTGTACATGGAGAGAGAGCGCCATTACCATTTATCAAAACAGTTCAGGTATAACCCTTTTTGTTAATGCTTAATGTCATTTCGAGAGAACCAGTATATAAATGCCTAATATCGTTTATTTTTCGGAAGTTAAATGCCTAATGCCTAATATCATTGGGTAACAATTATCCATGTCATCTGTGGTCATTGCTGAAAAAGGTTGAAAAGGATTTTTTGTCTGTAAACTCTAGGCATTTTCCTGGATGGTCTCATATCAATTTTGTAGTTTCTACCTTGTTCCTCTGCAGTCCCTTATGAATCACGCAGTTAATCTGTCCACTTATTTTATATCCAGGTTTCTTTCCCAGAAAGGCCGGAACTGAAAACAGCTTTATTACATAAAAAACCATTTATGCTAAAAAGGTACACTCATCTGGACAAATTGATGCAATAGAATTCTTTTTTTAATTATTTATTTATTTTTTTATTTTTTTGGTATGGTGGAGGGAGGGACAAAATCTGCAGGAAATAGATTTTCATCGGATTATCATGGCCTTCACACACTTGAGTTGTAAACCATGGACTTCCCCTGTTCCACCACCGTTGTGTACTCTGATTTACATGCAGAGTCAATCACCATCTGACAAGCCCTTGGGGCCTAAATCCTCGTATGGAATTCATTTTCACTTTTTTTCGAGCCATGAACTCTTAGGATTGGCTGCTGGTCATTCCTTGCAGTTTCAAATTTTTGGTCCCGGTTGCCGCCGGACTTGTTTGGAGCATATTTCTCTGCACGGGATTCGGGTTTTGACGCCGTTTCTTTCATTGTTCATTTTTTTTTTTCATTTCAATTCTTTTTCATTCATGGCGTTTTACTGTTTGAGCGCGTCTGCCCAAATTCCACTTTTTTGGACCCTACGGGACCCGTTCGGGGCACTTTTTGAGATTTCTATAAATAGGGGGTCAAGAAAAATTAATCAGATTTTTGTTTCCTTCTTCTCCCATGTTCCAGACCAGCCATGTCAGCCCCTTGGGCTTCCACCCTTAACCGGCATCAAGATCTTAGCTTTCCATCTTTTAAGATGTTCTCTCGATAGCTAGTTATTTCTGGCTGTGCAAAAAATAAAATGAATTTAAAGTTGAAAAAGGGGAGAAATAGTTGCGCCTAAACTTTCATGATAAAAAATTGAATGAGATTTGTGGGAGTGCAGTCTGCAATATCATATGTGCTTTATTATGCTCTTCTAAACTTTAACTCTCGTCATTGTTATTGACACTCCAGGATGCTTAAAACAAGATCATTGAAAATAATCCTGAAGCTTAATTTCAGCGATGGTTGTGGGTGTCAGTCCACCAGCATTGAGTTCCCAGTTAATTTTCTGGTGAGAATCTGGAGCCTTCTATTTACCTCCACGCCCTTCCTTTTCTCTCTTTCAAGGGAAACTGCAAGCTAATACTGAATAACATGTTTTTGTGGCAACTTTGTGAATATTCAACTCTAGAAGGTTCACTGTGGTCTGCTTTACTTTACATAAACAAACAAAATGAAAGCACCTGCCTTAATTCGAATTTATTGAGTTACAAGATCTTATTATTGTCTTCATTGCTACAAACTTATCTCGAAGTCAATATTTCATACCTGATGATATATATTTCATTGGAGCAGTTTGACCTTTTGAATGAATAAAATAACCTAGGTGATGCTAATAATATAGGGTTTTGTGCTTTTCTCATGAAATTTGCACTGCCTTAGTTACTATATATTGCCATCGTATTGGTCTTTTTTCTACCCTTCGAGTGCATCAACTGTCAGTTTGTGTGTGTTAAATAAAGTTGATGACAAATTGATTATTGCCATGTTCATGCTTTGCAGGCACCAACTACAGAAAGCTTCAACCAAGATAAGGATGATGTCATTCAGAAGCTTAGGGACACAGCTGTCCGAGATCAATGCTGTGGACAGTTCTCAGTAGTTGAGAGAAAGATCATTCCATCCACAAGAAAGGAGATTTCTGTTTATGCCATTGCAACGAACATTGTTGGGTACAGTGGTTTTTTTGCTGGCTCTAAGTTATCAGAAGCTGATCTTGAGAGTAAGAGAGAAATAAAAGAAGTAAATCTTGAAAGTAATGGCGACCTGGTGAAGAGGCATGAGGATGTAAATTATACTGAAGTACCCATGAAGAAACTGAAAAGTCTGTAACTAGTATTTTTGCTCTACGTTGGCATAGCTTTGGGGATTATAATCATTAGGAGGGAGAAATGACTTGGATTTTGCAGATGATGTAAATATAGGTAGAAGGTAGAAAGCATATGGATGCAGAGACCAAGTGATTTTGGATGCTAACACGGGTCTTCTCAAATGTGAATATGGAAAGGGAGGGAAGCACAATTGTCATTATCCATTTCCCGTAAATGTGTAGACAATGTTGCTTATCATTTTTGCCAGCGCTTTCAATTGCTTTTTGTTAATCCCCTTGTACATGAAGCCTTGTACACGAATAGCTTGTTGAATTGAATGTGTAGCTTGATGCTATTGCCAACTAATATTATGTGGTTCAACTGATCGCAAAATGGGAAAGCTATGTTCATATTTTACTTGTATTTCAGGTGACATGCGTAAAATTATTGTGTTTATTATTTTGTTTGACACAGCAATCTTTAAAACACTAGCTCTGGGAAATTTTCATATGATACTTGCATGCGGAGGTTTAGTTAGAATATATGGTGAGCAGCATGTTTAGGTTCCTGCTCTTCACAAAGTAGAAGCTAATTTGGAGCATGTAAAACGGTATGCCTTTTCTCTCTCGACAACTGCTAATTGATCACATAGAATCTGTAGGCCAAGAGGTCATGACTCAAACCAATTTTTAAAGTTAATTGTAGACTCAACAACCCATTATCAATTGTTGTTAGTTTCAATGCACTAGAATACAAACCCTATTGCCTAGTGAAAGCAAAATTTCTAACCCTGGTCTGTTATGGAATTACACTAACATATTTGTATCCTATTTCCATTACATCTACCTGATTGTCCTTGAAAAATTGAAGATTATATGGGTTATTCACTGATTGTCTATTTGATCCTCCGCCACCACACACACAGAATAAATAATTGAAAAGAAAAAGAACAAAAAGGACGTGTGAAGGCTTTTTCAAGTCTTCCCTGGCTCCTTTAAAAAGTATACTTGTAATGAATTCTTTGACCTGTTCTCTGCCCTCCTGCTTCCTTGCTCCTTCCCCTCTTTGACTCCCAAATACAATGGGGAGAGAGAAAAAAAGAATGGTAGAGGAGAGGGAGGGGAACTGAGCAAAAATGGCAGATGGTGCTGTAAACTTCGTCCTTGATAAACTAACCACTCTCCTACTGCAAAAGGCATCATTGCTAGGAGATGCTTACGGCGAGTTTGAAGAAATCAAGCTTGAGCTAGAAAGTATGAGATCCTTCTTAAAAGATGCAGAGCGAAGGAAGGAAAGGAGTGAATCGGTGCAAGCTTGGGTGAGGCAAGTTAGAGAAGTTGCAAATCAAGTTGAAGATACTGTGGATGAGTTCATGCATTACAAAGACACGCAGCGGGACAAAAAGGGACTGAAGGAATTTGTCATCAGCCTCCCCAAGAACATTGCTGCAAGACAAAAAATATCTTCAAAGCTACAAAAGATCAAAGCAACTGTTCATGAGGTTTCAGAGAGAAGCAAGCGATATGCATTTGATGGTAATATTGACGAGGGAAGAAGCAACAATGCATCAATTGACTGGTGGTGGCAGCATCAGGGAGAATTGTCAAACTTTATTGAGGAAGATGAGATTGTGGGGATGGAAGAAAACAGAAGAAATCTGCTAAAATGGTTAACTGAAGATGATCCCCGGCGGACCATTATATCAATTGTAGGAATGGGAGGTTTAGGAAAGACTACACTAGTCACAAAAGTTTACAGTGACCACACAATAAAGAAACACTTTGATTGTTCGGCGTGGATATCTGTGCCCCAATCATATGGGGTTGAAGAGTTGCGAGAAAGCATGATTGGAGTTGAAGAGCTGCTAAGAAGCATGATCAAAGAATTTTTCAAGGCAGAACAAGTGATGGTTCCAAACAACTTGAGGTCAATGAACTATAGGCAGCTAGGAGAGATGGTCATTGACTACTTGCACCAGAAAAGGTATGTGATTGTTTTAGATGATGTATGGAGTATTGATCTTTGGAGTAGAATAAGAGGTGTATTTCCTGATAACAATTGTAGTAGCAGAATTATTTTCACAACAAGAAATGTGAATGTAGCAATCTCTGTAGGACCTGGAGGTCATGTCCATCGCCTTGAACCTCTCCGAGAGACTGATGCCTGGACCCTCTTTTGTAAGAAAACATTTTGGAATGACCCAGGCCACAGTTGTCCCAAAGCGCTGGAAAAATCAGCTCGGCTCTTTGTGGAGAAGTGTGAAGGATTGCCTCTAGCAATCGTGGCTATTGGGGGCCTCATGTGTTCAAGAAACAAGACGGTTGTGGAATGGAAGAAAGTGTATGATAGCCTCAACTGGCAACTGAGCAACAATCCCATGCTTGAACGAGTGAAGGGCATCTTCATGTTGAGTTTCAATGATTTGCCATTCTACCTAAAGCACTGTTTCTTGTATTGCTGTGTTTTTCGTGATGGTTACCCAATTAAGAGGAAGAAATTGGTTCGCCTTTGGGTTGCCGAGGGGTTCATCATAGAAAGAAAAGGAATGGCAATGGAGGAGGTAGCAGAGGACTATCTTACAGAACTTATTTTCAGAAGCATGATTCAAGTTACGGAGACCAACGACGCTGGGAGGGTGAAGACATGTACAGTGCATGATGTTATGGGTAAACTGGCGGTGACAATATCTGAGAAAGAGAAATTCTGTGTATCATATGATGGTCCTGAAGCAACGCTAGAAGGAAAGATCCAGCGGCTATCACTCTACAACAGAGGGGTAAACATCCGATTAGGCAGGACTCTGTCACATGATCTTCGCTCATTTTTTGTCTTTCAGACTGATGTCTGCTGCTCATTCTCCTTGAGTGCAGTTTCATCAAACTTCAAGTTTTTAAGGGTCCTTGATCTACAGGAAGTTCTTACTGAAACCATACCAGGTGCATTGGTCAACCTATTTAATCTAAGGTATTTAAACTTAAGGGAGACCAAGGTTAAGGAGCTTCCCAAGTCAATTGAAAGGCTGAAGAACCTACAAACATTAGATGTCAGGAACAGCAATGTGAAGAGGCTACCCACCGGCATATCAAAGCTACCAAAACTGCGGCATCTGCTTTTGTGCCCCGACAATTTTCGTAATTCAGAGTCTTCCTATTTTCTTTGTGGCATGCAAGTACCAGCAGGAATTTGGAATATAAAAAGCTTACAAACTCTATCATGTGTTGAAGCAGAGGAAGAGCTTATCCAGAAAGTTGGCAACTTGACAGACCTCAAGAGGTTAGATGTTACAAAGTTGAGAACAGTTGATGGACCGATGCTGTGCAATTCAATTCAAAGGATGACAAGCCTCCTCCGTTTAGGTGTGATGGCACGTACTGATGAAGAACTTCAGTTAGAAGCCTTGTTGGTACCCCCATCATTTCTTCAAAAACTGACATTGGTTGGAAAATTGAGTAGGTTGCCTCACTGGCTTGGTTCTCTAGCAAACCTCACTCACTTGTACTTGGGCTCCTCTCGTTTAGAAGAAGACATACTTCTTTCTATCCATGCACTGCCTCTTGCCTTCCTTGGACTTAAGCAGGCATATGAGGGTAGGCTCTTGCATTTTAAGGCAGGATGGTTTCCTAAACTCAACAAATTGAATCTGATAGAGTTGATAAGATTGGATACTGTGATAATAGAGGAGGGTGCATTGCCAAGGATCAGGGAGATGTATATAATTCGTTGTCAACAACTAAAGTTGTTACCGCAAGGCATTGAGCACCTTACTAGCCTCCAAAAGTGGCATTTGGAGTAAATGCCAGAAGAATGTGTATGAAGGCTGTGAAATCTTGCAAGCAAGGATCAAGCAAAAGGTACGTCGCATTCCCACATTGTCATTTATTCCAACAGAACAAACTCGGGTATTGAAACCCTTTTCTATTCAAAGATGAGAGATTTAACTTATTAACATGTAGAATTGCAACATTTTAATTGTGTCTCTCACCATAGGCACAGACATTATAAAAGGAACATGTGATTAACACTGTTGATCACATGTTCTTTGAGTGCTCTTTTGCTCGGCAAATTTGGAACTGGTTAGCTATGGTGCTTCAGTGGAATTGGGAGTCGGTTGATTCTTTTGAACAGTTAGTGTAGTGTTTCATCTAAAAAAAACTAGAATGATATTCAGTGCTTGCATCTGGAGAATTTGGTGGAATGGAAATCAGGTTCTTTCATTCTGAGTCAAGCCAAAGTGCTATTCAAGTAGTAAAAAATTCCCAGTTTGAAACTTTGGACATTTTAAAGTTTGATATTCATAACTATGTGGTGGAGTAATCGGATTTGGTGTTATAATATTATGTATTTCTGGTTAGTAGTTCGCTGTTGGTATTGGCTTTTGCCTACTGGTCTAGTGGGGCTAAGTTCTTATAATGATTGGGTGGTCTATGAGTGCAGTGGAGATTTAGTGGCACATTCAGACCTCAAGATCATCTCTTGCAACTTCCATGTTGGGCTACTTGGTTGTTCTGTTTCTTGAATTTTTATTTATTTTTATTATTATTTTTTTAAATTTAGGGAAAAAGAAGAAGTTCGGCACAATATAGGGATGGTAATGGATTGAGAGTGGACAGGTTTTGGATGGTTTTGAGATAAGATGACAACGAGACAAGGATAGCCAAACCAAAACAACATGGGAACTGGGGATATAAATGCCTGATTTGAATGGCATGTTTGCTAGGTTAATGAAAATTAATCAGGTTTACAATTCTCTGGGAGATTAGTTCTACAAAGAAAGATTGCGCTAACTAGTGTTTTGCCGGTTCCATACAGTCATTTCCTAGAGCATATATAGGGCAAAATGGGTGTGTGCATTGTTTACTTGCAACAGAAAAAAAATAAAAAAATAAAGTGAAAGCGCATATATTATTATCTGAATAAATTGTAGGAAATATAATAAATTTGCTGATATTAACTAACAAATTAAAGGAGCAATATTTGAATATAAGATTAAACTAATTCACATAATGAAAGAAAAGGAACAACTTGTTACCATTTCAATGCGAAAAGCAGATATTAATCTATTGCCCTTGAAAGAACTTACTAGGCTTCAATGGCATAGCACCCTTTAGTGAAACCTAGCAAAAACAAAGCTTAGAGGTGTTAAAAAAAACAAGGAAGCTTTGAGATTGCCCAAAATGATATATTAGTATAATATATATATGAAATAGGAAAGAAAATAAATTTGAGTTGTATACACGGAAACCTTCACTAGTCATTAGTTTCAGTTATAAGTTAATCGGCGTTGGATTAACATTTTTGTTTTATGTTTTACACGATTGAATTCGGTGTGAGTGTGGTGGTGAAACCCTCAATATGATAGGATTCGTCACCCCCTCTCATATAAATTGAATTTAATAACTGCAACTTAAATCACTACTCTTACAAGAAATACTTTAATATTCCTAACATATTGATGACGTCTTCCTGTTTTACAGGATCGTAGCTTCCTTGGCCCTCTTCCCGCCACTGTGACACTGTCACGTTTTTGTAGTTAATTAGCTGGTTAATGGGCTGGTCTGAGCTCTGGTTTTGTGGATCTTCTTGTTTTCCTTTCTGCAGGCCCATAGGTATTCCCTTCTCTTCCTTTGCTTTTAATTAATTTATTTAGAGTGTACTAGTAAAATAAGAATTATATTTTTTACTTTCCTTTCTTTCAATCAAACAAAAATAATGATAAACAATTATTCATCCCTCCCTTCTCCCTTCTGTTGAATTTTCGGTTATTCCTTCCAAAACGAGGTTATATGTAAGGAAAAATATGTGTTAATCCTTCCTCTGGTGGGGGTGTTTAAAAGCTAAGAGCAAGGAAAGGAGATAATTTCTTTCCATTTTTGGGAAAATATAAATTTACAAGGAGAGAAAAGAAAGACTTCTCTGGACAGTCACTTTTCTATTAATTGAGGACAAAGCTAATACATATATATATATATTTTTCCTCTCCCATTGACAAGAAACTTACACACTCATTTTTTCTCACGGGACTTGAACCCTCAATATATAGCACTAGATTACAACATTTGATGGTAGACGCAAGTACTGTGTTGCCTAAATGATTAAATTGCTCCTTGTGTTTAAGAACTCATTTTCAAGTCTTACACCCTCCCCTCTCTCCCTTAAAAAAAACCATTGGCGGACACAAACGAAAACTAACCAACTCATTTTCCTTTTCTCTATTTCTTTTCACTCTGGAAACGAGAGGGAGGGAAAAAGAAAAGGTAAGTTGTCCTTATTTCTTTTTCCACACAAAATTCCCATACAAAGGAGATCCACTCCCCCTTCCCCATTTAAGTTTTGTCTTCACTACTTTCCTCTCCATTTCTTCTCCCAAACACACGTGAAAAATAATGAATAATAACAGAAAACAAACATGTGAAAAATGCTAGGCTGGAAACCATTAACTTGAATTAATAGAAAGAAAAATAATGAATAATAATATATCTCTAATTAATCTTATTATGCAAATGCACACCATACACATGCACGCAATGTGTTTTGTAGTATTTCCAATCCAATCCACAAGTAGAATAGAATAACTGTACTAAATCAACTTGGGTGCAACAAGTAATTTTGAAAAACTGATGGTGCCCACTTTGCCCAATCACTTAATTTACATCTCTGTAATAAAACTCACATGGCTTGCCTGCTGATTAGGTCCCCCTCTAGCTTATTGCATCAAAAGTTGACCAAAACTTAATACATGTCGAGTAGTAAAATAATCGAATGGTGTTGCATCATATGGGCAATAAATATATATGTAATATGCATATAGGGCATATAATTTTTTATAGGTTATTAAAAGTTTTTAATATTTATTTTTGGTGCGAATAATGACCTCTCGTCAGTTGAGCAATTAAAAGACTAAAAATGTCCTTATGTAACTAAAAAAAAAAAGTAAAAAAACTAAGTAGATGTAAAATGACTAAAACACCTAAGCAAAAAAGAAATTTTGCAAAAAGAGAGGGAAATGCGATTTATATATAAAATGGTATAAGGGGCATTTTGGAAAAAATAAAATAATATTTTAGGAATTTTTAAACTTAAGAGACTTATATAATAATAAAAAATAAAATGATAGAAGTATTATTTGTCCCAAAATATAAACATTATGTTTTTCTCACTTTACCATAATGCATTAATGCATATATAATTTGATAAAGCCGGAATTATCCAACTACTTTGTATAAATAATAGTCTCCAACTTCCTAACATTGTAGTATCATTTTTCAATCTTTGTCATAATTGACTCGACATTGGTTCTTATTCGCAACAAGTGGCATAACCTAGGCTGCGTTTTTTATTTTCTGTTGTCAATTTCTAAAAAGGCAAAATGAAAACAAAAATTGCGTTCAATAAAATGTTTTTGTTTTTCTATAACAATAAACGTTTTCAATTTTTGTGAAGAAAAGAGAAAACATTAAAATGATATTTCTTATGTTTTCGGCACTGTAGCGCAGAAACGTTTTCACTATTGTTATTACACATGCATTATTCATCTAAAATAAAATTTATATTATTTGTGTTATATGCTAAGTTGCATATTAAATGTTAATAAAAATATATATTTTTAATATAGAATAAATTAAATATTGTATATTATTTTCTATTTGATAAAAATATATTTTAATATATAATATATTAAATAATAATATAAATTATTTTTTGTGACAAAATAATTTTTGATATAGAATATAATTTTATTAAATTATTAAGCAGTAGATATTTTATATTATTATATATCATATCTATATTATATTATATGTAAATATTAAAGTATAATTAATTTACAATATTATAACACAATATATATTTTATTACATATAAGATATATTATTTAATATTTTTTATTCATAATAAATTATCATATGCTAAATATATTATATATCACATAATAAATGTATACATCATGCATATACATGTATTTATATACATAATTGGTGGGAATGTTTTTGTCTTCGTATATCTAATTTTATACTTATAATGTATTGAGTATTTTTAAGATTTATAATTTTAAATTAGATTTTCTAGATTTATGGTTTTTTGATATTAATGAAAGCAAGTTTCGTGCCTAAGTGATTGGGTTGCTCTTTGTGTCCGAGAGTTCGTGTTTAAGTCATCTACCCTCCCCTCACCCTTCCCTCTAATCAAATAACTCCTAAAATTCTTGCCATGAAAAAAATAAAAAAATTTAAAGAATATTATGTACATTTTGTAACAAATATGTTGTATTACTAAACACAGTTATTGTTTTATGTTTTCAAATTTGTAATAACAATAAGTGTTAATAAATATCATTTCTGTTTTCTATTTTCATTCAAAAAAAAGTAAAATTATGTTTCTATTTTTTTATGAGTGCAAAAACAAAAAACAAAAACAAACTAAACAAACTAGGTAAGTAGTTCGGATTTGCGAAATGATCCAATACCCTTTAAACTTTTAAGGTGAAACCCAAGTTACCTAACAAAAACAAAACAGAGACACGCATAATATCTATGTGAAATGATGTGCAGCGTGGCATCCACGTCTAGATGTTCATAATCTCAGCAGTGGTCCATCAGAGAAAAAGTCATTTTCTTTCTACGAGATCAAAAAAAAAAAAAAAAACAGTAGGTAGCTCGCAACCCACCGAAATTAGCTAGCGTCTCCAAAATGGCCACGATTATCGTCCTCTTATTAGTAACGAATTTTTTATCGTTTTGTGACCAATAATAAGTTGTGACATTCAATAGAGCCCGTCAACTTTTATCTGAAAATATTCAATCCCATTATCCCACTCTTTCTCTAACCTCCATCATGAATTCATTGCGTGACAGTGTGTATATATATCAATTTTTTTATTTTATTTAAAAAAAACTCGTTTATATATTGCTTCTCGTGAATGAAGTCATCCAGCTATTTTTATTGTTCATAACAATTCAATAGTGAGAACAAAAAAAATTTATTACTCAATAAATGACATCAAAAATTCAAAATCGAAAATGAGTGTCATTCCTTTCTTACTATCTCTCACTTATAAATACATATATAAGTTGTGTGCGTACTTTGTTGTTTATACTTAAATAAGTATTTTTTTATACCTACACACTTCTGCATATGTTTATTCCGTTGCCAATAACCTTTTTCTTGCACTGGCATGTAATTTTTTTTTTTTTTTCTGATAAATTATTTTCAAAGGTTTAACCATAAATACCTTAAACTATGAATGAATATGATTATTTCATGGAAATCAATTTTTTTTTTTAAATAATTTTTTTTTCTTTTTTTGATAATATAATTTCACTTTGAACAAGTCCTTCCAATATTTAAGATTGGATTTATCCGATTACAACGTATTTTTTATATTGTCTATATGAAATTTAAAACAAATTCCCCACAATAATAAATGCCTTCACTTTTAATTATAGCTTTAATAAACAAAATGAAACTCCCTCTGCTCTTTCTCATTATGAGCTAACCAATCAATCTACTTAATAATCTGTGAGATTTTTATTCCTACACAATTTAAAAAAGGATTTGACACCCAACTTTATTATCGCACAGTGGCTATTTTCTATTTGGAACATGTAATTTTTAGATTACATTATAAAAAACTTAATTAGTGTTGGATTAAGGTCGGCTCTTACTTAGCAAGCTATCTCTTTCCCTCAAAAGGAACCTCAATAATTGTGAGGGTGCAAAACTCAATAATTCTAGAAAAACTGTGATCTCATTTCATCTATTAAAAATAAAAATAAAAATAATAAAAAAGGTAAAGTGTAAAAAATCTTTCTGAATTATTGCAAATAACTCTTTTTAACTATTAATTTGTTACATTTAAGGACAAATCCATCACAAAATATTATTTTACCATTTTTTTATATTAAAATTGTCCTTTCTTATTAAATTATTTTTTATTATATTTTCTCTTATTCAAAAATTAATTATTCCATTTACCTTAATTTTATAATTAGTGTCAATTTATCATAAAAATGAAAAATAATAAATAGATTAGTAGCTACCATTTTCTAAAATGATTAACTTATTATACTCATTTCGAAAAAATTTAGTGTAAAAAAATATCTTCTTTTTCATACAATATTCATGAAAAATTAATAAATTACCTAAATAAAAAATATCTTCTTTTTATGCAATATTAATAAATTAAGTAAATAAAAAATATCTTCTTTTTTATGTAATATATTCATGAAAAATTAAGAAATTACTTAAATTATTTCAAAATATTCTACTTAAAATTTTTATTTAAATAATAAATTTCAAAATTAAAGTCAAAATTATGCTCATCAAATTAGTATGAATTTTTGTCATAATTTATTTCAATAAGAAAATAGATTAATTGTAATTCAATAAGAAATTGTGCTATGATCATTTAATAAGAAATAGTCAAAACAATAAGATATTTTGTACCCGTGATAGTTTAAGAGTTTTTATGCAAAAAAATACTTATTTATTATTTATTATTTTTTGCGCACTTCACCCAACTTCATGTTGGAGGAACAAAGCACCAATAAGAAATCGGCAGCGAGATAGCATGAGTCTTGACGGTAAGTCAATCAGTACAACACCCACCAAGCAACTGAATGGCGGTCGCTGAAGATCCCATTCGGTTTGTCGTTAACTCCAAAGACCAGTACACACACAAACACACACTTATATATATATATATATAATTATACTTCCAATTTTCTGTTCGGGTTTGTCGTTAACTCCCAAGACCGGTACACACAAACACACACTTTTATCTATATATATATATATATATAATTATACTCCTATTTTCTGTTCGGTTGAACTCAGCACCCACATATATAACATATATATATATATATATATATATATATATATATATATCAATTTGCTGTAAAAATGGAGTTCATATATGATAAAAAAAGGGACAAAAACGTACCAAATATACACGCTACTCGTTGCCTTCAATTCAAGGTCTATGTGAGCTCCTTGACTAACAATTATGTACTCGCTCTCAAACCCTAATAAATTCTCTCTGTAGTCACAAACCACAGTCCCTCAAATCTATCCCTGATCAGAAGACACGGAAAGATTCAATTGTAGCACTCAAAAGATCCATTTCTGAATCTTCTTACTCTGTAAGTTATTCATTTTAATTCTCTCCTGCCTTTTATTTTATTTTATTTTATTTTATATCTATAAAGATTTAATTGTATATCTCTATGTATGTGTATGTATCGCTATAGTTATGGTTTCTGGAACTGATTTTTTATTTTTTATTTTTAAATGGGATTTATGCCAACAAGTTTAAAATAGTGTTAATTGAACTGCAATTGATGGATTTCCAGGTAATTGAAACTATGCAACTGCTATTCAAGAAATGAATTTATTTTGGGATGTTAAGTTTACTTATTCCTGTGTATTTTTATGCTGTGTAAGTTATGTTGACTCAACTGAGCATGGTTTAGGTTAATAGTGCTGAGGATGGTGATATTGACCCATATAATGGTTTTGTTTGGGTCCGTTGTATTCGTACTTATATAGCGAATCAATTCATTATTTCATTATTTTGGTTCCGTGGTCATTTCCATTGCGCTTGATGATTTAACTGGGAAATTGAACTGTTGTTTTAGCTACCTCACACAACCACTAATGACCGCGTAATGTTGGCTATTTTTGCCATTAATGTTGGCTGTATGAGTTACACTTATCTAATCTTTATGTTACTTGTCAATTTCTTCAGGTTTTTTACCTTCAATGGCGGCAATACTGGCTTCTCACAGCTGCTATTGCCGCAATATGGAATTAATAAATCAAGGAAGAGCAGTGGACAATCTCAGTTTCTCGAGCTCAATTTCAATTCAGAATCTATCAAAGTTTGAGAGACGTACATATAATTTGTCTAAAATAGAGAAATTTTACAGGTTTCAAGTGGAAGTGCGACAGACTGAATCTCCCAAGAAATTAGGTTCTAATGGTCGGCCTATTAAAATGGTACCTACAAGTGAGGTAATGAAAAGAAAACCACCGTCCATAAATAATACAGAAGTAGTAAATGGTTCAAAACGGGTTGTTAACGGAACAAGTCTAATTAAGAGAGATTCTGCTCCGCCACTGGTTAAGACCCCAAAAATTAGGGACACTAAAGGGCTTCCACCAATCGAAGAACTAAAGGTTCTTCCTTCAGATGAAAATTTCAGCTGGGCCAGTGAAAATTATAATTCCTTTCAAAGATCTATAGATGTATGGTCTTTTGTTCTTTCACTGCGCGTGCGGATTCTACTAGACAATGCAAAATGGACATATATCGGAGGCTTCACAGAAGATAAACAGGTGAATAATTATGGCTGTTATCTGATGCTGCCACATTAATTCTTGATTGTAAGTACAATGGAAATATCTGTTTCACTTGCCACATTTACCATACTTGCCAAAATCTGTCATTCAGAAAAACAGAAGACGAAGAACGGCCTCATGGTTAAGAGAGTGTGTGCTGCAACTTGGTCCTACTTTTATCAAACTTGGACAGTTATCCTCGACAAGGTCGGATCTGTTTCCACGTGAGTTTGTGGATGAGCTTGCCAAGTTGCAGGTATTTTTTAGTTTCTCTCAGTATTGCCTTGAAATAGTCGCTGACTACTCTGTTGTCAATTTTTCATTATTATGTGGGGAAATTCAAGTCTTTTGTTCAATTTTTTCCTAAAGAAACTAAAGAAAAATAAGCTATAGATTCTTATTTTCTTTTGTATAAATTACTTGACATATGATTCAGGATAGAGTACCTGCCTTCTCATCAAAGAAAGCAAAAGACTTCATTAAGCGTGAATTGAGAGTTCCAGTTGACTTATTGTTTAAGGAGTTTGAAGACCAGCCAATTGCAGCTGCTAGTCTTGGTCAGGTATTTGCTCCATGTTTTATGTTGTAACTTTTATAATGTAGTGTTGAAATTAATGGAATCTTATTGATTTTAAAAATTATTCATTTCCATTTTCACAAGGTAGATTTGTAATCTTAAAAGTTAATGTTATTACAGCTCAAAAAAAATATATGGTAAATTGCAGAAAATTCCCCTAAACTACAGCTCAAGTTACAGGAAACCCCTGAATTTTTTGTTTTGCATTAAACCACCTTGTATTATCCCCTGTTTGGCAAATGGAAAATGATAGAAATCATGAAGTGTTTTTCATGATTTTATCACTAATGAGACGTGGCATAATTAGCTTTCCTTTTGGGAGCCGGAGAGAGAAACCCTCACTCAAATTTCCTATTGGGAGCGAATTTCCTTTTTCTTGGATTGTTCTTAGATTTCCTTTTGGACGGTGTGTGGGGTGTGGGTGTATATATATATATATATATATTATGTATTGAAGCCATGTGTAATTAACCATGGAGAGAATCGATATATATATATATCTATATATTTATATATTGAAGCTATGTATAATTAACCATCGAGGGAATTGAAAGATATGTAAATAATTCTTATGTGTTGGTTTGAAACTATCTCCAAAATTTAGGATTATGTTTGTATCTCTTCTGCATAGTTAGGGCTTAGGATTATGGATGATTACTTAAAAAAATTTAAGGCACCTATAAACAAAATTAGTCATGGATTATTGTATGCACATGTAGAGGAGGACTGTTTTGATGGGCTTCAATGTTAACGTATGTGATGACTATGGTAGACGAAGGCTATATATCTTTATAATTTTGGAAAGAGAATATTGAGAGAGAGAAACTAGCCTAAGAAAGAGGAGAGAGTGACGTGGGTGGAGAATACGACATCGTATTTACCATTTGTGATACAATCTTGAATATGTTTTCGTGAAGTCTAGCACTGCTCTTGGCAAATTACCCTCTTCTTTATAATGCTGTTTAAAAAATTGTCATTAGTCATCACATGACTGAGTCTTGACATTGAAAAATATGACAAAATTAACAAAATGGCCAAAAAAAAAAGGTGAACTGTCAATGTTTTTGCAACAAACCCCTTGAACCTTTTTTTTAGCAAAATCCTCTCTCATCTTCCAAAATCAGGTGAATGCCCCTCTTGTTAAATGGCTTTCAAGTTTCTATTAATTTGTGATGTGAAATTACTAAAGTGCCCCTGGTAATGAACTTAAACAAATAAAATAAAACTAATACATATAATACCAATAATATAACTCCTAGCAAAACATTAACATATTGAATGTGATTAATTGACTTGGGGTCCTTATTGGTATTTTATGTATCATTTTTTTTTTTCAAGTTCATTACTAGGGGCACTTCACCAATTTCACATTACAAATTAATGGAGACTTGATGGTTGTTTAATATTAGGGTGGCATTTTGCATATTTTGAAAGATGAGGGAGGTTTTTGACTCAATAATAGTTCAGGGGTCTTTTGTTGCAAAAGAATGATATAATTTAAGAGGGTCTTTTGCAATTTTTCCTTTTTTCTGATGAAGGACAAAACAATAATTTTACATTCATATTAACGGCAGCCAAATTCAGTAGGGGGATTTGCAACTTTTTCTTAGTTTAGGGGGGTCTTTTGCAAGAGGAGGGTTTTCTGCAACACATATATAGTTTGGGGGGATTTCTGCAATTGATCTAAAAATATATTATTACTATAATTTCAGAGGAGAAAGAGAGATCCATAGTTCATTTATTTTCTTAGAGGTTATAATTTTGTGATGAAAGATACTTAAATTTATGCATTTTCTCCGACAGTGGTATTGTGCAATTTGATACTGTATCATAAAGAAACAAATGCTCACGTGAAAGTGGAGAGACATTTTAGCAAATGGAAATAAATTATATAATATATAAGATAGTCATATGGCACCCTTGCTAAAACAACAAAGGACATATGGAAGACTCATTGTAGTTGTTAAAAACACACCTAGGCTCCAAAAAATCCCCAGGCTCAGCTAGAGCGTCTCAACCTAGTATATGCCAGGCCTTTCCAATCAGGCTCGCATAAAGCCCTCACACTCACGTTTTTAGTAGGCTCCAGACTAAAAAAGACGCGCCTTTTATATTTTTATTATATATTTATATCATTTTCTTTTTTATTTAATGACTACTAAATTAACATTTATTCATTTTTTTTAATGACTACTATATTTAAATGTTCTATATCATAGCATTGTCATATTTAATGGATCGTACAGGTTAACCTTATGAAGTATTTAACAAAATATTAATTTATGGTTCATTACTTTCATTAATTGCAGTTAGTGCTTGATTCTGAATATATTTGCTAATATATGTTTAAAATTTACATGATTATAGTTATTTATTGTTTTAGATTTTGCAATCACATTTAATTTTGTTAATGCATATGCATGTGAAAGAATTTTTTAGCAAATATCAAAAAACAATTTTTAGAGAATTTTATATTATCTGTGTTGCAAATCTTCAATTGTTCCAATTGTACCTATATTCAATTCATATGCAAATAGAGAAGATATATGTATATGTGTGTGTGTGTGTGTGTGTTGATTTAGCTAATCCATTGAATTGATATGTTGAAAAATTTTCTTATTTTGATATTGACAAGTTTGTGTTGCATGATTATAATTAATATGCATTGTTATTACACACTCGCATTACTTCGATCAAGCTCGCACCTTATATTGCGCCATGCGCTTAGGCTGCAAAAGACCTTTGGGCTTTGGCGCCTTAGAGCGTTTTGAGCCTTTAACAACTATAAGACTGATGGCTGCTAAAATTGAAGTTAAACGTTATATTTTATAAAATTCCATGCTTATAAATGTGTGAGTAATGTTTGTAATCATTAAGGGGGATGAGAGAGATTGTTCTTTATGTCATTTATTCCTTTCTAGCAATTTTGTCCATTATCTGATTTGAATTTTGGCAAGCTTTACTTCTAGGTACATCGAGCTATCTTACATAATGGAGAGAAAGTAGTTGTGAAAGTTCAAAGACCGGGCCTCAAGAAACTTTTTGATATTGATTTACGTAAGTAATGAACAATTATTCAGAACTCGTACCATTGTTCTTTTGTCATTGGTTCATGATAATGGGACATTTTATTTTTCTTACATTATAGTTTTCAATCGTATGCATAATAGAGAGGGGGAACACCATTCGAACATGAAAGAGAGGGAACTCCAATATATTTTCCTCATTGCATTGTAATTTGCTGTGACGAAGCATTATTATTATTGGAAGAAACACCATTTAGATAAAAGATAAGGTTATCTAATAATAATAGGGTTGATGGTGAATGAGATAGGTCATAAGGTAAAGAACCATGTAATGAACACAAAGCTTCTATGATGTGAATATTAGGTTTGCAGAAACTGCTTATAAGCCTTTGTCCTAAGATTCATGTAGGGATCCTAATCCATGATTATGAAGCAGGCTACGATTGCAGGTTCTAGTTTGTGTCATAGTAAGAAATCCCATACCTAATTACCAAAAAAAAAAAATCCCAAAATGAAGCCGCCAAAGCAATTGGTTGGAATCCATATTTCATACATTTTTCATTGATATTTCTAATAGCAGTTAGTTTTAAATAGTCCACGTCAGTTTTGTTTATACACATAAGATCGCTAATAAAATTTTATATTAAGTAACGATTACCGACGATATCTAAAGGTTTTCTGTTAAGCAGGATAAAGTAGAATAATTTTGATTTGTGGCTCACATGGAAAACTGCGCCTATGTTTGCCTTCTAGATACTCTTATGGTTGCCAGAGCAACTTTGGATCTCCTGACAATGATTAAGTTGGAAAAGTCTATTCCCATTTTTTTAAATGACTCTCTATTTCTTTTTCTTTTCATTCTTAGATTGAGTATTGTGATTGCTTCTTTGAATCTTATGATTTATGATCTAATGTATGGCTGAATGCTGTTTGCCTATTCAATTATTCAAATCCTTTACATATAGTTCATGGTGTCTCGAAACCTGTATCTTTGTTGATTGCTGAATAGCTCCGTATAAACTAAAGCAGAATTTACCACCTATTCATTATGGAGAAAAAAATTTAATGATAAAAATAATGACATTTTCATGAGAAAAGTTCATCTGATGTGAGGATGTTGAATAGACGTTTCAGTGTAACAAAGAAGTGAATCTTGATGTTACGTTGTAAGAGAATTTTTATTGAGATGGTTCAGCCATGTGCAAGTTGGACAAATGATGGTGCCCTAAAAAAGAACCGAGTTAGTAGAATTGAGTGGTAATAAGAAAGCTAGAATAAATATTATTCAGTCAGCAAGATATACTTTGGATGAAGATTCTTTGCAGTTATTTCGTTCAATTATGTAGTTGGTTTCAATGTGCATCCTTCTATATTCAAGCAGTTAGCAAGATTAATTTGACTCATTGGTATTCTTGTAGGTTCTGTAAAATCCTAAATGTGCATACTTGTCACATATAACATACGGATCTTTGAGGGTTTAACACTGCTTTGTGATGGTTTTTGTTACTTCACTCAATTTAATTTTTTCATTCAGGAAATTTAAAGCTAATTGCAGAGTATTTTCAGAAAAGTGAAACTCTTGGTGGTCCAACAAGGGACTGGATTGGAATTTATGAAGAATGTGCTAAGTAAGTCAGTGAGCATTAATCAGTTTTTCTTTTGTCAATTTTTTGTTATATAAATAAAAGATGCATGCTGTTGGGACTGCTTAATATGATATTCACCTCAAGTGCCACTTAATTGTAAAAGCACAGTCTGCTAACATTGCTTATACAATGTGAATTTGACTAAAAAGTGCTTGATTACTCAATCATTGAGAAAGCCAACTCACCTACCCTCATGGGTTCCTTTTATCTTCCTACGTGTCTGTTTTCCTGCAGTCGCTTGAAATGATTAAACCACAAGTTTCTGAACATATACCCATCTTCTTAAAAGAGGTAGCTTTTCTTTGCTAAGTTACCTGATCGCTGTTATTGTTTCTGGTGGAAAAGATATATGATTTATTTCAACATAGCCAATCCCTCGTGCAAATAAATAAATAATATATCTATATAAATAACATTTCTGAAGACAAAACAGATGTCCTTGGTAAAAAAAAATTAAAAAAAATATGGAAAGAGGGAGGGGGAGAGAGAAAATGAAGGCTATTTGGTGGTAGCGTTTATTTTAAACAATTTTCTTTTTTACTGAAGTCATTGAGAGAAATTCGGTTAAGATGATTTGGACATGTGCAAAGAAGACCTTTAGATACACCAGTTAGGAAGATTGACATGGCACACATTGAGGGTAATACTAGGGGAAGAGGAAGACCAAAGTTGAAGTTGGTAGAGTTCGTAAAGAAGGATATGCTAGCTTGTGGTTTGACTGAGGCTATGAACTTAGACAGAGCGGAATGGAAACATAGAATTCATGTAGCCGATCTCAAGTAGTTGGGAAAAAGGCTTCTTCTTGTTGTTGTCAATTTGTTGTAAGCAATCTTCGGTGCCTCTTTCTTTTTTGACCAAAATGAATATGCCTGATTCTTTTGTGCAGAGTTCATATACAATCAGTTTCTATCCCTTCTTTTTTCTTTTTGTATTCTCTTTGTAGTTCAACTTCTACCTATGACATCACATTAACTGACCATCCAAGGGTGGTTCCATAACCACGTAAAAGGTCCCTAAATGGTCAGAATCCGTATACCGTATCCTATCCCGTGGTGTAATGCTTTTGAGACATCGCATCATCAGGATCCAAGAGATTTAGCAATATAGGGCACAAGTTTCTTTTTGGTGAATAAGCAACATCTCATTGATCAAGCAAAGATACAAGAAAGTTCCAGCATAATGTAATACAAGAAAAGCAGAAAAGACCCCCACTAAACCACTACCTATTCACCCAAGTAACCAGCAAAAGATGGACAAAAAGGGCAACTCACTGCAAGGAAGTGGCATAGTCACTAACAGTGCTCACTCTTGGTAGATAGTCACCCATTCCATGCAAACAAAAAGAGCCAAATCCTTAGTTTCTCCTGGGGTCAATATAGCACAAGTAAAAAAAGGATCAGGGTTGCTCTAACATTAGTTTGTCTCTCACCTCTGAAATGGTCAATATAGCACAAGTAAAAAAAGGATCAGGGTGGCTGTAACATCATTTTGCCTCTCACCTCTGAAATTAAATTCTGAGTTCTATCCCTTGAAGTGTTTTGGCCGGTAATTAACATTACATTGTGTTTGTAAGACTTTTGTTTTGTCATGTTCATGCACTGAATTTTGTTTTTCCTTTCAATAAATTTTGCTAGAAAAATATCTGGAAAAGGTCTTCCTCCTTTATTTTGTTTTAGTGGTGAGTTTATCTTTGAGGATAAGCTGGTTATTCTTTGTGATTTTTTCAGGATTTTGTATGAAGAAATTGATTATATAAATGAAGGGAAGAATGCTGATAGATTCCGCCGGGATTTTAGAAATGTGAAATGGGTTCGAGTACCTGTATGTTTCTTGCTAAAAGACTACAAGATTTGCTTGTTTTGTTCATTCTTATTCTTCTTTTGCTGGATGTTTTCAATGATTATTCTATTGCCTAATAGCTTATGCTATTAGAATGGGCCCAACAATGTATATCATGCTCCACAACCTGCCTCACGTACAACCCCATCCTTGCTCATGGTGAGGCAAATAAACCAAGCTAAAACCAGAAAAAAGTGCACACTTGCAATTCAAACTGGGGAACAAATGCATATATGGGTACTTGAGCCTAAAACCTTCTAGAAACAAAGCTCCGATACCATGTTAGAACACCAATTGACACAAAAGCTTAAGCAGATAGAAAATGTGGCAGCAATTTATTTCAAGCTCCAACGGCGTTACCTTCCAATTGGTTGCTCAAATAACAGAGGAATAGAGAAGACATCAAAAGTCTAGTGTATTGCGTTTTTTTTTTTTCCCCAAAATTGAGAAGCTCAACTAAGACAATAGATGAAGGCCACAAAATAGAAAAATGAGGAGGAAATAAGACTAAGATAAAATGATAAGTTTTAGGCTAAGTTGAGTGGCGTCTTTGTTTTTTCAGAATAATGAAAATTTGAAATTTAAACTTTTCTATTCTTTTCTTCTCCTCTATTTCTAAGCAACTTAAATTTATCACTGAACCATAATTTTGAACAGAACTCTAATTTTTAACATAAATAATAAATGCTTGCTGACATTACTTTCAATTCTTTTCTCTTACCTTTTCACTATGTAGCTGGTACATTGGGATTACACTGCCTCAAAGGTGTTGACCTTGGAGTACGTTCCAGGTTTCAATCTAAACTACTATGTTTGTTTAGGTTCAATATTAAATTGGAAAACGACATCAAAGTTTAAAGAATTGATTTTAGTGATGTTATTTATGTGATCAGGCATAAAGATAAATCGGTTGGATATGATAGATGCACGGGGTTTTAGTCGATCACGCGTTTCATCACGTGCTATTGAAGCATACTTAATTCAGGTCAAAACCTTACCCTATCTCACTTTGATCATGTTGAACCACTTGACTGATTAGAAATCTAATGCAGCCAAAATTTCTTACTGACTGACCTTTCTTATATGACTGAATGGTTTAATTGGTTTTGCTACAATTTCAGATACTGAAAACAGGTTTCTTTCATGCTGATCCTCATCCTGGAAATCTTGCTATTGATGTAGATGAAACAATCATCTATTATGATTTTGGTATGATGGGAGAGATTAAGTCTTTTACAAGGGAGCGATTGCTACAACTTTTCTATTCAATTTATGAGAAAGATGGAAAAAAGGTATACTTCTAAATCTGAACTGTTACTTTGCATTTATCTAGCAGTATGTTGATCATTAGAATTGGGAAATAAATGTCTAGTGCAAAATGAATTACGATTTTATATCTATCTTGACATGACAGTAGGGCTGCAAGTTGGGCTGGCCCAACCTAGCCCAGTCCCAATCCAACCTCAACCTAATCGGGTTGGGTTGGGCCAGCCCGAATTGTACCTAACATGGGTTATGGTTATAACCTGGACCGAATATTTTCGGGCGGGTTGGGTCAAGTTGACGGGTTGAATTTTTTTTTTTTTTTTTCAGAAATTTATATATTATATATATTTGATTATATTATTATTAAAAAACAAAATATTTTTAGGGCAAATCATTTCAGCCTCCCCAATCACCTCCATCTCTAGTCTCATTCTCAACTCTCTCTCTCTCTCTGCAACTGCAAACTACAAAATCTACAAGAATCAGAAGTTCAAAACCCATATATTTCAGTTCATCTCTCTCTCTCTGTGCAATTGCAAACTACAAAATCTACAAGAATCAGAAGTTCAAAACCCATATATTTCATTCTATCTATCTGTCTGCAAGAATCAAAAGTTCAAAACCCATATCGGCATATCATTTCAGATTGTTCAAAAAATCAAAACCCATATCTTTTAGTTTCCATCGCCCGTTGTTCCAGTTCGGGTTCGCCGTTCGCACGCTTCAACCGTTGTCTCTCAACTCTCAAGCTTGCCCCTCTCTCTCTGCAACTGCTAACTTGTATGTATGGGTTTTGTTTTAATTTTTGGAAGTGATGGCGGTGGCGGTGGATCAACGGTTGAGGGACGGCGGTGGCGGCAGGGACGGTGGCAGAGAGAGAAAGAGAAAGAAGAGAGAAGAGAAATTTTTTTTTTTTTAATTTGGGTTTTGGGTTGGGTTCGGGTTCGGGTTGAGCCCGAGCCCAACCCGAATATGTATGGGTTTTGACAAAACCCAACCTGAACACGAGCCCAATTTGTGAATTGTATGCCCAAATTTCAAAATTTATGGGTTGGGTTTGGGTTGGGCTGGGTTAGCCCGCCCAAGTTGCAGCTCTACATGACAGTAGAAGAGAATATGAACAGGCACTCTATAAAATATTCAGATTTACTTAAAACATGAGCAGACTTCAAACCAACTTTTGGGAAAACTAACTTCTTGAGAAAATAAAAACAAAGGGAAAGAATCACATGCGCACACACACACTCATTTACATGAAGGTAATCAATCTCGCTTGCTTGGGAAGAACTTTGTTCTTATAAGTTTAGTGGTTCCTTAAATAAAAAATTTAATTTATATAATGGTCTATTTATGGTTTCGGTTATCGGAGCAGTGGGTTCTATCTACTAGGTCACTGAATATATCTGCTACTTGCTGTCTATTGAAATTGCAGCTAATCATTTTCATTGAAAAAGTATGGCTTGTGGTCCTATTGTAAGTTCAATTCATATCCAGCCTGATCAAACTACCCTAAAATCACCAAGAGTAACCTCTTATTTGCCATTAGGTTGGCCTTTTGATTTTACTGTTTTAGAGCATTTAACTGTAGACCTTTTTGCAAATACATGCAGTTAAGGTCGCTGAAATTGCTTTAAAAATATATAATTGAATGGTCTGGATGCGTTTGCTTTAACTGATGAGCTGTACAATCCAGGTTATTCGCAGTCTCATAGAACTTGAAGCGCTTCAGCCCACAGGAGATATGTCTTCGGTATGATATCATACCATAAACCAGTAAACATCTAAAAGGATAACTGTCATGCAGTGAAATATTTTCTAATCACATATGGGTTCTCGAAGACCTCGTTGTCCGTCTCTAACGATATTCTGTACTCCTAGGTGAGGAGATCTGTTCAGTTCTTCTTGGATAATTTATTAAGTCAGACACCAGACCAGCAGCAGACTTTGGCTGCAATTGGTGAGGTATATAAATATTTACTTTAAAGTCAAAATAATTTAAGCATATAACCAAGATAATTTGTATGGATTGTGGTTGGATAACCAAGAATTGTTTTCATGTTTAACATAAAGTTTGATTTGCAAATTCACCACTTTAAAAGGCCATGACAGGGAAATGCCAAAATGGGAATGAGAATCATCATCGTAATTGCTGGTTAAAGAATTTAAGCATCATCATTTCTACAAACTTAGAACTCATTCTACCAATAATTGTGGTGATGACTTCCATTTGCTTCAATGGCCCTATTCATGACAATTAATTTGTACCTTAAAAGGTTATCTAAGAGAATAAATCCACAGAGTTTCTATGATATATTGATTCATGCCATTAATCTATCTGCACACAGACCAAGACTAAATTTGCTATTTAATTATTCTATTTCACTAAATTACTATCATTGAAGAGTTTTTTCAGTTCGATCACCAAATTTAGTGGGTAACTATTATCCAAAAAGAAACCAACAGTACGTTCAACCAGATTTGAAAGGATGCACTAGAATCAATCGCACTCAGATCAATTAGATTTCGTAACATGACCATGTGATTACATCAAAGGAAATATCATTATTGATGATTAGAGAGTGAACGAGGAGATAGTATTGTCATAATTGCTCCTTATATATTACCCTTGCCTGTAGAATGGAACACTTGGAAAAACTTTGAGAATCCCCCATATCCTAGCATAATGCATATTTTGCACCTGTTAACTATTCAATTAAATATGTAGAGATGACATGATCACTCATTTCTCATAAGAATGATCTATAATTGATAAAAATACTGAGGGATTTATTTGCAGGATTTATTTGCTATAGCAACGGATCAACCATTTCGGTTTCCATCCACATTTACCTTTGTGCTTAGGGCATTTTCGACACTTGAAGGTGCTCTCTCTCTCTCTCTCTCTCTCTCTCGCGTACACCTGTGCGCTTACACATACACGCACATACATGTGCCGCCATATTTTTATGCTCATGTAATATCTAGACTTGACATAAAATTCCATTTTGAAGAGTCAGATGATGTAGACTGATTTTTTTAGTTATATTACATTAATAGCATAGAACCCATAAATATATTGGACTTATATATATGTATGTGTTGAAAATGGTACAAGTTGTTGATCATATGAATTTATCATTTTAGTTTGATGGTTGAGATCAAAATAAACCACTGAAAGAAAAAAGGTTGTAAAACATGAAAAGAACAAATATCCATCGTTACCAATAGGCCAGTGGTCTAGCGGTATCAAGCCCCTACTTCTCAAAGAGAGGTCAGGGGTTCGAGCCTCTGTGGAGGCATGTGTGTGAGTACCCAACTAGGAAAAAAAAAAAAAAAAACAAAAACAAAAATCCATCGTAACTCTGTAAGAGATTTCTGATGATTTTACTATATTGTTAGAAGATGGGTATAAGAAGGTTTCTTTCCATGTTAACGAAGGCTTGTTCCAATCATATTTTTCACTCAACCTCTTCCCATCAAATATAGCATTAGTAAAGTCCATGTTATTGATATTTTATTTGGGATAATTATAATGATGATGGTGATGACATTCTGGAATTGAGCGTTGGGCTTTCAAAAAGAAACAAGAACAACACATTCATGAAGCGGAAATGAGAATGCTGAGATGGATGGTTGGAGCGACTAGAAGAGATAGGATCACAAATGAAAGTTTAAGAGAAAAATTAGGTGTGGCACCAATCAACAAGAAAATAAGAGAGAGTAGACTTAGATGGTTTGGGCACATACACTGGAGACCTATAGATGTGCCAGTGAGAAGAGGAAGGTGAGAGGCAGAGAGGACTTCCAAAATTAATGTGGGCTGAAGTCATTAGAAATGACTAAAAAAATAAGCATCGTAGGTGGGATGGCGGGTAATAGAAAGGAAAGGAGACAGAGAATTCATATGGCATTACCCCATTCATATGGGATAACATTGAAGACCATGGTTACCTTGTTTATTATCTACTCTTGTTGTGTAATCAGTATCTACTTTTTGAATGATGTGTACAATTTGTGAGTAGAGATTGGCATACAAGAGGTTGCGGTGAAAAAGGAAAAAGTGACAGTGTTTAATATATTTTCCAAAACTCAATTGTCAATCTTTAAGCGGCACCAAGTGCTTAATTATGCTTGCTTGGTGTTGATGAGGGCAGTTTACAGTACCTTACGCTTGGATGTCGCCGTTGAACTGATTCTTTGATTAAACAGGAAACACCTTAATTTTTAGCAGCATTTAAGAGTGGTCCATCTTCAAGGTTCTAAGAAAAGCAATTCAGATATTGCACTTGGGAGCATTGTATCTTCCTTGTTATTATGACAACTAGATATTTTTCAAGGAAAATACTGCAATTATGAATCAGAATCTATAGAAAAGTTGAAACAGTTCTAAAGCAGCATGGATTACTGTGCTGGAAATTGCAAACATAATAATTTCTAAGGGGTATGTGGCTTAAATAGGCCACTATAAATACTGTGGGTGATAATTTTGAAGTTGGTGTTGCACCCAAACATAGACCATGGACTAAATGGATGAATTTAGATTAATGCGGCCACTTTCATGTTATTGTTCTCTTCTTACCACAATTGCTATCTTACAGGTATCGGCTACACGCTCGATCCAGATTTTTCCTTTGTAAAGATCGCTGCACCATATGCACAGGTTCTGTATGTTTGTGTGGAAGTTTATGGTGCATGCATTTGATGGAAACAACTTCTCTTTATGCTTTACGATATGGTTCTGAAATGGTGCAAATACCCACAGGAGCTATTGGATACAAGACAGAAGCAGCGCAGAGGAACGCAACTTGTTGAGGAAATAAGGAAACAAGCTGACGATGTACTGTATCTTGCTTATGTTCTCCCCTCCTCATTTACTTCTTTTCAATTCTATTCATATTTCATAGTATACGTTAAAATGTTTTATTTATATTGACATCAAGAGAACCTCATCTATATTTTCAGGCCAGAACATACACCATATCTATGCCATACAGAGTCCAGCAGATAGAGGAGATCGTGAAACAACTTGAGTCAGGAGATTTGAAACTTCGGGTTCGGGTTCTCGAGGTATACTCCATACCTTTTAAAAAAGATGTGTGAATAATTTATGTACATGGATAATTTACCTTTTTCGGTATTAAATATTAGATTAGAGGCCATTGTATGTGCAGTGGTAAAAGTTTGGATTGTCATGAAAATAAGGATTTGAGTCTTGTGATTATCACTTTGTGCAAATAATGCCAAAGGTTAGATTGTACCCAATTTGTTCTCAACACCCTCAAGGGGCCAATAATGGGTAACTGGCCTCTGAATGTTAGATTGATGGATGTTTAGTATCCTTGAAAGTATTGTTGCATTTTCTTCCTCAAATGCAATATACCATGCTTTTACATGTAAAGGGCTCTCCTTTATTAATGCAAAAACTGCATTCATCAGTCTGAAAGAGCAGCTCGGAAGGCAACAATACTGCAAATGGCAACAATGTATACGGTTCTAGGTGGTACCCTACTGAACCTTGGGGTCACGATCGGCAGCCAAGGCAGTCAAGTTATTGCAAACGGATCATTTATCGGTGCAGGTAACGAGCTGTAACACTGAAATTTTGTGCTGCAATTTTATTTCTCATGATTAAAGTCAGCTTTACATTATTGATTTTTTTGCCGCACAAAGTGACTGATTTGTTAAAATGCAGGTGTCTTCTTTGCTCTATTAATTAGGTCCATGCAAAGGGTGAAGAAGCTTGATAAATTTGAGAAAATGATATGATTCTGTCTCCATTTCTTGGTTATTAACTTTGTCTATTCTTTTCCCCATGGTCATAAGAGCCTGTAAGCTTTGTATGGCCAACATAATTGAAGAACGAACATGCTTTGTTCTGCATGTAATTCAGGGGAATATATTCTAAAATAGGTTCATCTCAATCAATCTGTGACTCCATTTTTTATTTTTTATTTGTTGCCCCATCTTTATTTTCGATACTCTATTGGGAAAAGGAGTAACTTTAACACGCTCATTAATTTTTATTTTTTCATTCCATAGTTTCACTTAATCCAACACATAATCAGTCAACTTTGAAGCAGTAAAGTGTAATTGAGAATTCATATGGATAAAAAATGGAAAGACATGTAAAAAAAAAAAAAATTAAAAAATTATGTTACATGATTAATATTGTAAATTAAATGAATAAATTCAGCCACGCATTGTCGTGTCTTAAATCACACAAATTTTCTCAACACGTGTCGCTTTTACGTTCTGAGTGTTTTCACGTTCCGCGCACGTTTTTGCTCAAATTCTCATTGTTTATAATTTAATTCTGTTGCTTTCACGTTCCTGCAATCAAATTCGCTTTTATTATCGTTCTCACTCTTATTTTGTGTGGCTTAGGTCGTGTCCAAATAAACTAATAAAGTTGATATTAGGGATAAGATGATGTCAAATATGGCAACTTCAGCGGCTTGTTAAGACCTAAGGTTGGACATAAAATCACAACGTGATTATTGCTTGGGTGGTGGTTGGGTATGGAGGTAGGCAAGTGCTTGACTGCATTATTGGAGGAACTGTCACATCATTAAATATCCAAAGTGATTTTTTCTTTCCTTTTTGGTGGGTTGAGCTATTTCTCCACAGCAGACCTCTAAAGCACGGACACGGACACGAAATATGAATACAATACGATATGAATACGGCGATTAAGACACGAACACTGCGGGGATACGCCTATAAAATAATATATATATGAATACGGCGATTAAGATACGAACACTGCGGGGATACGCCTATAAAATAATATATATACGAATACGGCGATTAAGACACGAACACTTCAGGGATACGCCTATAATATATATATATATATATATATATATATATATATATATATTTTATAAGTGTATCCCCGCAGTGTTCGTGTCTTAATCACCGTATATATATAATTATATATTCAAAATATAAGTACTATAACCTTACATATTCATTTTCCTAATAACAAATAAGTATATATAAATACAAAATTGTAAATAAAACAATAACAAATAACAGGGCCAATTTCAATAATTTCATCTTTGTTATAAAAAAAACATAGACAAGACAAAATAGAAAATAAATGAAAAATAAAGTTAATCCAAATTCCAAACAAAGATGTTCAGAAGAGACATAGATATAATGGGCTAAATATGTATATGAATAAACATATATACTTTCAGTCTTTCACAAAGTCTTGTTCATGTAACTTTAAAAAAACAAAAAAAAAAAAATGTTTTGTTCATGTACAGAGATAATTGAAGAAGAGGATAGACTGAGAGAGAAAGTGAGAGAAAATAAATTTACTCTGTAGTACTCTGTTGTCTGTAATTGATTTTTTATTTTTTTCAAAATTTTACTTTTAAACTTCTAAAAAATTACATTAGGTACCCCATTTATCTTAAAAAAAAATTACAAAATATACCCCGCCGTGTCCCCCGTGTGTTCGAGCCGTGTCCACCCTGTGTCCAATAAAAAATAATTTCTAGACACTTCATAGAAGTGTCGGACACGTGTCCGAGCCTCGGGCACGCGTGTCCGTGTCTAAAAAGTATCCGACGTTGGTACGAGACCCCTGAGAGGAGTGCCCGTGCTTCATAAGTTCACATTTATGTATGGCACAATATTCCGCCCTGCCGGTTTAGAACGGTTATGGAGATAGTTAAATAGTTTGGGGGCGGGGATTGGAAAAGGTCATCATACGTCGTCCCGTCTCGTTTATATTAATAAATTATAATTTTGTTCTTATACTTTATTTTATATTTAATAATATTAAGTATATATTAAGCAAATCTTAGTTTATTCTATTCAAATCACTAAATATTATTTTGTACAGTATTATTATTATTATTAGTATTTTGATATTGTTATAATAATATTAAGTCTCAAGTTCTGATTGAGAAGTTAAATCTTGTTTTTATCTGTATAAGAGAAAAATGAGTATTACCATACTTGAAAGTTTATTTCATTATTTACTTTCATTATATTCGTAATACAATTACGAAAGTACCATACAAAATCCATCCCCGTCCCGCCTCATGTCACGACCTGAAAATTCTAATAAAATCCTCAATTTATACAAATTCAAATACATCAAAATACACCCAGGAGCAAACAAAATGCCCTCTTTTATACAAAAATCAATTTCCTCAAATATACAAAAAAAATTCTCCAAATAAATAAATTAAATCACGTAACACCAACTCTTCCACCTAAGCCCGAATCTAGCAATCCCCGTTCATCTTCAGTACCTGAAACTGGAGGGTGGTGAGACAAAAAGTCCTGGTAGGAAAAACCATAACAAGAATTTCATGGAGGTTTAATAAAACAGCTTCACAAAATATATATATTCACACAAAAATCAACTAACAAACCCATGTGTGTAAAGTAACAAAAGTTAAAAAGTGGGTCTGCCAAAATCTTATCATTCATCTGTTCTACACGCTTAACAAAATACACTATTTTCAAACAGACCACCCACGTGAACAGCCAGCCAACCCAAATGAATTTTGAACACAAACCTCCTAGTGGGACCCGTCAAACATCATCACAATTGTCCTTTCTGTTTTTTTTTTTTTTTTGACAGACCACTTTCTCATCTCTATCTTCAGTTTCTTTCCATAACCTTCTCTTTCTTTCCACTTCACAACACACAATATATATATATATATATATATATATATATATATATATAAAGTAACAAAATCAAAGCCCCATAAAATATCTCGTGCGACCCACACTACCATTATCACAATCACATTTTCATTCTCCTTTTTCTCTTCGGCCAGGTGCTCCCCTCTTCCATCATGTTACACACACACACACACACACACACACACACATATATATAATATGTATCAAAGAAAATTAATTCAAAGTTCAAACCCATTTCTCTTCCCAAAATTCTCGTGCACCTTGTTGCTTCCTTCACCAGACATGCATACTACACACACACACACACACACACACACATATATAAATTATATATAAAATAACAGCAACCACACCTCCACTAAAACAAACTCAAAAAAATAAAATTAAAAATTAAAAATCTAAAAAAAAAAAAATCCGGGTTATCACACCTCACCCCTCGCCTCCATCCTGCCCCGTTTAATAAACGATTTTTGTTGGGGATGGAGGTAGTTGTAATGTTTCTAATTTTTACCATTTTCCATTTTTTAGATTTTTCCTGATTTTTTAAGGGTATTTTTGTCTTGTCTCGTTTTGTGTGCACGACACTATGGGTGTGCCAGATGGGTCCGAGAGTTGGTAAGGGCATTTCCTTGAGTTCAGGACTCTTGGAAATGCATTGGTTGCCATTTCGGCATTTTTCAATTTTCAAGTCGGACGAGACCCGCAATCGGTATTGTTGTGCATGAGAATTATTTTTCAAGACTGTTGCATGTCATCCATTATTATTTGAGGTATTTTATATGGCTATGTATTAAATGATTGGTTGTAATGTGGTTAGTGTATATATATATATAAATGTTAAAAAGATTTTTATTTAACCACGTGGGACGCGCCATTGACATAGTCGTTTTAGGTGACCAAATGGTCACCAACCAAACCATTCTTTCTTCCTTTTCTGGCTGCGGCAGTTTCTCTCTCTAAGCTTTTTATATGTATGTTTTTCATCCGTTTTAAAGCTAGATTTACACAATTTCATTGGGAATTTGACTTTGCCATTGAAGACAAAGTTCACTAGCTCAACGAGATCTACAAATTGAGTGGAACAAAGTTGGAATTGGGTGACTTTGGTGGATTTCAAAAATTAGGGCTTTTGCTCCAAATTGAGGTAAAGTTGTCTAACTGTCAATTTCCTTGGATTTAGTAGTTAATTAGATGTTTTTGCCCCTCTTTGGCATGTCAATTGATGCCTAAAATGTATGATTAAATTTTAGGGTTTTGGCTTGCACTTGAATTGTTGAATTGAGGTGTTTTACATGATTAAATGTTTATCTTGTGTATAAATTGCAAGTGGCATGCTATTCAGTTGCCATGTATGGTTTTTTTTTTTTTAACACATGGTTGTTGTGATGTTTTGGTTAGACATATGCTAAATGATCCTTAATTGTTATAGCATGCTAAAAATGTTAATTGTGTTATGAAAGTATGTTGATTATTGAACAAATGAAATTGAAGCATTCTATACGCATGTTATAGTGGGTTCATAAGTAAAGGAGAATTGTGTGGGTTGAGGGATGTGATGTGTGGGTACACGAAGGTGTGGATGTGATGTGTGGATACATGAGGGTTTGGTGTGACGTAGGTGTGCATTGGGTATTTTATGCATTGTTTTGCATTGAATGGTATGATGGTTATTTGGAAAAGTGAAAGTGTTGTTTGTGAATCCTTCACATGATCCCTAACTATTTTCCCTATTTATTGTCTAGAAGACATGTGGTAATTTACTTTGTTTGAGGAAATGCCATTTAAGCAATCTCTACTAAGCCGTTGTGCTCACTCCTCTACATTTTTCAGGTCACGGGGTTGAGTTGGTAGATGTTGATCTTCCACGGGCATGGATGGGACTAGAAAATATTTATTATTGGCCGTTCTATATTATGATATCTCTTTTGTAAAATTTTTAGAAAATCTATGCAATTGTTTTATCGTTGTAAGTTGACAATGTACCCGTATTTTTAGATAGCAGTTTGATGTATTTTCAGTGTGGCCATGGAAGCATGTAATAACTATGCTGGTATATTAGGATGAATGGGATGACTATGGGTTATTTTGGTTAATTTCATTGATGAGGATGACACGGGATGTATATTATTAATGTTGCCAGGTGATTATTTCTTTTCCACCATGTATTCTTTGTGGGTTAGTTAACTACCATATAGGCGTAGTCTACTGTGGGTTAGTTGACTACCATACAGGCGTAATCTACTAGGGGTTAGTTGACTACTACACAGGGGTAGTCTAC